AACGAAATAATTTATTTTTGGTTTAATAATATAACATTTTATAAAGATAATAATTAAGTATTCTGTTAGAACTCAATGATTATCCTAATTATATTTTATATTTTTTATATTTAAAATGATATGTTTATTTTATATTTGATTATGTTTATCTGGAGTTAGTTACACGAATTCAAATATGAAGCTTTAATAAGTTGTACTTATTACAATCTATTTGTAATCTTGAGTTTTAAGTAATATGCATTAATAAACAGTATTTTACGCATAAAAAGTGGTTTTTAAGAACTTTTGTCAAATGCTTTATAATATAGTATATAGTATATATATATATATATATATATGGGACGTTTCATTTACAAATCATCCAATTCTAATAAACCATACAAATCAATCTTAGCAATCCATCTAGTCTAGTAAATATCTTATTTTATTTTGTTTCCTAATCTGAAGTCATGATTATAATGAATGAATTTTTATCATCTTCTATATTATATATATATATATATATACATATATATATATACACACACACACACTACAATAATAAACATTTAGACCAAAAGTCTTAATTACAAGCCTCAAAACATAAAGTAATATCAATTTATGCAAGAGATTCACAAATCTCTTAAGTACAAACTATTATGCATAATGTACAAATGCTTAAAACATACCATTTGTTTGGTCAAAGTTTCATATTTAAATAAACCATATTTACATGTTTGGTCTTCCCAAAATTGTTTGATACTTTGTTGTTTCATATTTTAAACCCAAATTCAAATTCAAAGTTCTTATTTTTTTTGAAGTAAACTGAAATTTGAAGCAACAATATCTAAAAAGGTTTCAGATCCTGCATGTGCCCGACCCCAACCCTTCAACTTTATTTGGGTTTAGAAACTCAACATGTGTGCAATTATTTTTCCAATCGATCTCACTAATACATCGTATTAACCTTCAACTTTATATATTATTTGACTCGTAAAATAACTACACAAACTCGTGATTCAAAACTAAACTAACATTTCAAAATTGTGATTCATTCATATTGTATGGTACAGTTACATCATTAGTATATATATTATATATATTGAGTGGACCATTAAATAAAGAAGTCAAGAGTCAACACGATCTTTTGACCGAAATGACTTTAGTGCCCTTTTCAAAGTAACTTCCAAGCAGCCACACCTTGTCTCCTATTTTAATATTTAATGATAATTTATTTTATTAAAAAGTCAAGTTATTATTTTTTAAATATTTTTGTTTATTCCATTGCTATCAGCTTCTACATTAAATCATATGGAAAATATTGCAAATAATAATTTTCAAAATCAAATTATTTTTTATTTTTTTTCATAAATAATTTTCATAATTATTTATTTTTTTATTCAAAAGAAATAAGAAATATGATGATGCATGTGTATCATAGAAGCAAAAAAAACGAGGTCTATGTTCACACATTAACAACCATTTTATTGATAAAAACGTTATATTACCTAATATTTATTTTAATACATTATTTATATTTTTATATATAGGGTTAGGTCTACGTGAGACCCGTAAGACCAATTTATGTTCATTGATCAACTTTATAAACTAATGATCTAGAGTTGTATGGTGACAATTTTGTGATTATTGAGAAGTCATGTGACGTTTATGAATGTTCAGATTGTCAGATTGTAGATCTAATCCAAAGGTTGAGAATAAAGTCTAATCTAAAATTTAAGGCTTGGTTTTCATATCCGAAATCTAATTGGGTTTTTGATTAATCCACCTAAACCCACCCAACCTGCCGATACACACCCGTAAACTGTCTCGTATTTACATAAATCACAAACGTTCTGGTTTAAACCCTTGTCTGCTACCCCACAAATTGACAAAAGAGCATTCTCTCTTATTGTTATGAGAATTTCACACTCATTTCTTGGAAAATCTTGAAAACCTTGACTTGGTCACATTCCAATCATAAATCACAACAAATTCTAAAAAAATAGAAATCTTTTTCTTTTCTATTTTTCTCTATTTATTTGTGTTTTCTTTATTTAAATATTCTCATTATTTTGTAGTTATCATATCAATGATAACTACAAAATGTAATGTATATAATATTTATATCGGTAAATGCAATAAATAAATTCACACATTTTTTTCTCATCTTTGGTGAAGTTTGAACTCCTAACTTTCTAAGAGATCAGAGGACCAAAAACCCTTTGGTTTGGTGTTGGAAAAATAAATTAGTGCTCTTTTATGTCCAATTATAATGGGGCCTCTCACCTTTTTATCCTTTTGGTCTCTTTAATTTATAGCAAATGATATTTGTCTTAATGGTATCGTAGTCTTCGATCTCCTAAAAGGTTAAGGGTTCAGATATCACCAAAGATGAGGAAGGTGTGTGAGTTTATTTGTTGCATTTGTCATATATAAATATTATATATATTTCAAAAAAGTTATTGATTTATTTTTCTTTTTTAGTAAATACAACATTTTTATTTTGGTTATTTTTTAAGTAAACGAGATTGTGTTATATGATGGAGAGAGTGTTCACTTGTTAACAACCATTTTGATGAAAAGGTTGACTTTTGGAATTTCATAAATAATTCTTAAGAAAATGAAAGGTTGAATTTTAATTGAATATTTTTTTTAATTAATTTGGATATTCAATTTGCTATGCGAGCCGATTAATACTAAGACAGTCATTCGCTTCGCGAGTAGCCGGGAGTCACTGCATTTAAATCTCTGTGACCATAAGGGGATCTTTTTAAATCAGTAATTATATGGGTTTGAAATTTATAGTTTAGACAGTATATGTTTATATCTTAACCAAATACTGATATCCTATCAATGAAATTATATTTAGCGGAAATATAATATATGTTATAAGAACAAATCAATATTTGTTCTGTTTTCATAATCGAGGGTTTTAACATAAACAAACGGTCCATTTTTTTAATATAGACGAGAGAGTTATAGACTCATAATTCGTTGATTATTTTATTATTAGATTTATAAATTCATGTATTGGTTAAATTAAAATGATATAACTGATATGATTTCAGAGTTGAAGTATACAATCAATCTTTTTATTTAAGAATACACAAGTCATATAACTACTGAGGGATGGGTTCACATGAGATAAGACTGTTTTCATGAGACACGGTTTTTACACTTGAAACTTCACAACAAAATGTTATGAAGGTTAAAAAAAACTGGATCTTCACGTCAAAAACACTATGAAAGTTACTTTCACGATGCTTTGTTATGAAGTTTCAAGTGTAAAAAAGATGTCTCACAAAAAGAGTATTATCTCACATGATCATACTACTACTTTCATATTTTTTGCCAAAAATATATAAACAATATGAAGCACCAACTACCCTCCTCACTTGCAATTTAGTATTTGTCCTTTTCTTATTCCTTGGGTGCATTGGCACATCTCACTCTTTTCATGGAAATTTTTCCACCATTTATGTTTAGATAATTAAATATATAAACTACCGAGGGATAAAACAGGTTTAAACGAGAATAATAATCAAATAAAATAATATGAAAACTATTAAATCAGATATAAGTTTATATTAAAATCACGTATAAAACTACATGTGGGGTCATGGGCCAAGTCTCCACTTTGTTTGACTATGTTCCATGATCACATGTGATTTCAGTGTAAAATCACATTAATTTGGTTGTTCTCATTTTCATATTTTTGTTATATCCTCTACTATAAAAACAATTTTATTATCTTAATATTTTTTTAGATGGTAAAATATTCGGTTGTCGAATACTAATTGAAGATAAAGATGTCCGGATTTTGTGAAAAAGTTATCTTCTTTATCTATGATTCCTATTTTGGGTATCGTACTTTCAAAACTTTCATTTTGGTACCTAAAATGTAAAATTTTAAACATTTAAGTACTCAGGTAACTGGTTGAAGCATTAACCGGTTACCATGCTGATGCGACGAGTGATGTGGTATCCGGTTAATGCTTCAACAAATAATACTGAGTTGGATACTACATCACTCGCCACATCAACATGGTAACCGGTTAATGCTTCAACTGGTTACCCGGGTACTTAAATGTTTAAAACTTTACATTTTAGATACCAAAATAAAAGTTTTGAAAATACGTAATCTAAAATATGAATCAAATTAAAGTAACTTATCAAACCTGCAAAAAACGAGGGATTAATTTTATAAGATTTTTCAAAATAAAAAAACATATATAAGATTTTGAAAATTCAAGACAGTTTTTCTTTTCAACGAATTTTTTAATATTTTTTCAAATTCGAAAAACTCCCGAAAAATGTGTAGTATGAGAGAAATAAATTTCTATTATATTCCATATTTAAGGGTCATTTACAAAACACTTATTCAGTAAGAGTTAAACAGATCAATTTATCTTACCAGATGAACATAACAATAACCGCAGAACGATGACAAGGGCGATGTCAATTTACTTTACCAGTAAACGCTAAGCGGGTCAATTTACCTTACATGGTAAGAGTGATGACAAGATCTAAGACCTGGTAAATGAGAGTGACGACTTTTACCCGATAAGCGCTTACCGAATAAATTATTACATACGATGTCGTTTTAATAGATTAGAATCTTAAAATTAAAGCGTTTGTTTAAATAGAATGGTGGGGGTGTATAAATAGAATCAACCATTGCAATATTGAGATTACAAAATATACCATATATAAACGGGATACTTAAACATATTTACGATCCAATAGACACACACACACACGATTATACCTAATTAAATCGAATATGGCCCTTTCAAGTAAGTTTAGTCCGAAGTGGATTCACCCGTCTTTTAATCTCTCCAACCTGGAGAGATTTCAAGAATGGGAGAAAGTGATAGTACTCTTAACGGAGTACTACACCACCAGGACAAAGATACAGGATAACTCACCAGGATCCATAGCATTAGCAGCTCGAAAGATCCAAAAGTCCAACATTATCGACTGCTACAATGTTAAAGACGATGATGCCCATGATACCCGCTTGCACTTCAGTACATGACGGATGGAGCCCACATGGTGCCACGTCAAGCATCCCTCGTAAAAATCATCTGTCAAATGGTCGATAGATGATTATCTACCCATACTCAAAACTTTCAACTAAGTGAGATTATTTCAAGAAGGTTAAGCTTGCTAGTTTCCTAAATCAGACCAAACCAACCAAACTCGGTGTATTCCACCTGGAGGTGGGGTCTTGTGGGGTAAGATATATGCAGACCTGACCTCTCTAACTGGGAGGTCTCGGGTACTAGAAATTTTGTGCACTCAAACCTTCAACTAAGAGAGATTATTTCAAGAAGGTTAAGCTTGCCAGTTTCCCATCAAAGGCAAATTCCTAAATTTTGCCTACTGCAGCCCAGAAAAGTCATCAAGAATTGGTAGACAAGGGGGCCATATGGAGCATGAAACTAAGGGGCTGTTTACCCAAACGGCTTACCGGTAAGAGTCAACACTCTCACTTACCTTACTGGGTAAGATTCTAAACCATTAAGATGGCATCGTATGCAATAATTTATCAGGTAAGCGCTAACTGGGTAAGAGTTGTCACCCTCACCTACCGAGTAAGACTCTCGGCCCTTTTCATCACTCTTACCAGTCAAGATTTACGGTCCTTGCCACGTTCATCCAATAAGGTAAAATGACCTGATAAGCGCTCACCGTGTAAGCGTTTAGTAAACGGTCCCTAAGCATCATTTAAGTTGTGTATTTCAACCCTAACCCATTGGAAGTCAAATAAGACAATTGGCTTAATATGCTATGCATATTTACCTAAGGGCATCTCCAACGGTACTGCAAAAACACCATTTTACAGGTTTGGAGGCTCCACCTGGCAGGCAAAAAGAACGAGAAAATGTTGGAGTGGGAGAGAAACAGCATATATGCCATCTGAGTGGAGTGCAATTTTATGGTGGTGTTCATGGGCCCACCAATTTGGTGTTCTTTCTGGTGTTGTCGTTGGAGATGGTCAAAGGCGCCCCTGATGGAGTAATGGTATCACTTGAATCTTTTACCAACTTTACACAGTTTTGGAGACTGGCATTTATAGAATGAAACAAGTGCCATAACCAGAAACGTGCTAGGATTAATATACATTGGTGTACTTACATTGAAGAGTTGATAAAAAGTAGAAGTCTGGGGAGGTTCTCAAGAGCTAACGTGAAAATTGCACCGAGCACAAAAAGCAAGACAAAAGCCAGCACGACTTTCGCTATGTACCCGACACCGATAACCGATGGTAATAGTCCTTTTGTTGAATGTAAGTCATCCAAGCCCTGCATATAGAAATGACAAACAATAGAATGAGATATGACCTCCAAGTATATTTAATCATGGAACTCCATTGTCCATAACTTTTGCCTTTGTAACCAAACTAGAAACAAAAACCCAAATCCAGTGTCCCCTCCCTGGCACCAATCACGTTAAAACACATCATCGTTTTATTGAGGAAAGACCATAACAAGATGAATTAAATAAATGTATACTTAAATAAAATAATGATGTGTTTTCACATGATTGGTGGAACAAAAGGGCGACGAGAGATTTTAATTCACTAAACTAGTGCTTCCCAGGAGAATGACTAAAAATCATCCAGGTTTACCAATTAAGTCTACAGAACTCTTATGCTTCATATTAGTATAAATTCAAGAAATACAATCTCAAGTGTCACAGAGTACCAATGAAGATGTCAAACACAAATGAAAATTACTGGGTGCGATTGCATAGCTCAGATGTGGGGAACCCACCGTTAGAAAAGCACCGGTTTTATATTTAGTGACCCTAAAAGGCGAGTATGAGTTTCGTTCGTTTCTTGGCAGAAATGCCGAAACTGAGCTCATCGCATAGTAATCCCCAACTGGTGATTGTTTATACAGCCCTGGACTGTCAGAAGTCCCAATGTTTATGCATTTCAGATCAAGTGGCGAAGATTTATACATTCAGGATGCGGTACAAAAGACATCATCAAACCAGGCAAGTACGTATAAATTGAAATATAAATCTATCTAGTCAAAGGTCCATAACATCTCGTTAACCATGAAAAGAAGCATATAGCATATGGACAGTTTTGATAGCTGCAATTTGATGTTTGTAGTTTGACTATAAGCCCACGATAGAAAAGAAAGATCACTGTTAATTTGTAATGGCAAATTTTCAACTTATATCCTGAAGATTGCCAACTGCTAGAAGAGATAAGGGCTTTGCTCACGTTGGTTTCTCCTCTGTAGTAGAGAGATTTATGATTCAGTTGGAACTTTCAGAACTATATCTACCCAGTTTCCTTTGTGGATATTTACTGCCACTAGTATCACATAGCTTGATGCTAATATTGAAGCTTCATCAGGTTTTGCTATTCTGGAAATAGAAACTGAAACACTAACAGAAAGACACATACCGGTGGAGATGATTCATATTTATCTCTTCTCCTGGCACTTGCCCTAGCTCTTGCACCTCCTTGAAGACCCAAGAATACAAAGTTATAACGAAGAAATTTCTTGAAACACCTCTAAAAATGAATCAAATTATAAGAAAAAAGGTTTTAATACTACACCAATTTTGAAAAGATATACACCCTATGAAGTTAAAGATACATTTGACCTATAAAATCAATATGCAAAAACCTAAAACTCGAATCATCATACATTCAAGCAGTTGATAGCATAAAATTATTCATACATACTACAAACCATCTCTTATTTTTTGCAGAGGCAAAATGATTCCATATCGATCTTAAGTGTTAGGATCTCATAAATTGACAAACGAAAAATTCACGGCTTGCCAACCTAGCAGGATTGTCCAAAGTGTTTGAAATTTCCTCATGGTAACTTAGGGGCTGTTTGGTTGGTTTTCCATTAAGTCCTGTATGAATAAACCGTCTGTATGGATTAATTTGCTTGTATAGATTGGGAAGGTTTTTGTTTGGGAGAGTTTTTTCATAGATGATATGAGCATGTTTGTTATCTGGGAGGGGCAGGTTTTGAAAAAACTTGACTTTTTGCATAAAGCTCCCCTTAAAAACTATCTGAATAAGTCACTTTCGATATCATTAAGCCACTACCAAACAGTCATGTATAACTGACCAAATAAACTTCGAGTCTCACTAAGCTCATTGAGCTCATTAAGCTGCTAACAAACAGACCCTTAGTTGTCTAGAATTTCACCCTTTGTGTGTCAATTTATGTGCCAATGAGGGGCCCTAACATGTGGTTTCCCTGGCCTTCCTAAAAAACTCAAGAATGTACCTCTAGCTACATATTTATGAGGGAACAAACAAACCTTACTTTGTAACCTGCTGTATACTCATAAATTTCCCAATACTTATGGTTTTTCTGATGATTGCTTTAAAAAATTTGTCAACATGTTTTTCCCAATGAACAAAAAACATCTTCACAATTGAAAATAATATATGAAATCAAGAGTCTAGCTGCACCTTCTGGTTCAGTAACTGTCTGCAGCTTCCAGCCATGGCCATGGCATATAAGAACCGAATTAGGACCAAAACTGATGGGCTCTTCCCCTTCTTTAACTGCTTCAATATACAAAGCCAGCGGCAATCCATCATTTATCTTTCTGTTGATTAAATTCAATGCAAATCCGGCCTCCGTACCAACAGAAAATCGCCTGATCTTGCTTGAACTTATGCAATTTACTTCCAGATACTGTAAGTAAACATCGTGATTTGTAAGACAAATGTAATTCAATTTAAACGTAATTGACTGGTTTATTACCTACATATGAAGAGAAATACTGAGATAGAGAGGCTTACAGATGCTGAAACTGATGGAGAATCTTTGACTTCCGAGTTTTGGTCATTGTCCGCCATGGGAGAGTTGATATCGCAGAGATTTGAAACACGCACAGATGGGGATTAGTTCGATGTTCATCGGATTCAATGGTTGACTTTTCTAAGTGCAGAAATAGTTTGGAGAAAAGGCCATTTTGGCCCTTCTAGTTTTTTTATTTTGCAATACGTCCATTCTTTTTAGAGCAAATTGCATGAAAAAAGTAACGTACTTTTACTTGATTTTTATTTTGGGTAACGCACTTTTAAAACTTCTATTTTGATACCTAAAATGTAAAGTTTTAAACATTTAAGTGGTTTAAGTGACCGGATAACCGGTTGAAGCATTAACCGGTTACCATACTGATGTAGTCAGTGATGTGGTATCCAACTCAGTATTATTTGTTATTCAACCCAGTTTCATTTCATCACTCGTCACATCAGCATGGTAACCGGTTAATGCTTCAACCGGTTACTTGGATATTTAAAAGTTTAAAATTTTACATTTTAAGCACCAAAATAAACGTTTTGAAAGTATGTTACTCAAAATAGGAATCAAGTTAAAGTACATTACTTTTTCATGTAATTTACTCTTATTTTTATGTTATTTTGTATCATCGTTCACGAATTTGAAAGATAATTTGAATTTTAACTTAGATCGATTTGTATCTAACCCAACAAATTCATTTTATAGATTTTAGATTTTGATTAGGTTTTAAATTGGTTGAGTTGGATTATTCGAACTATTTTTCGAGTTAGATTTAATTGAGTTGTCGAGTTTACATATAGTTTGGAAATAAAACTGATGGTAGACATATTTTTGACCTTCCCAGTTTTGGAAACAAAGTTAACTGAACTTATGAACACATTCCTAAATCATAGTAGTCCGCAGATTCACAAACACGTATGGTTCATTGAACCTCTCTTTGAGGCAACGTCCATGTCATTACGTATTTTCATGCGGATTGAAACTTGCCCAATAAGAAATTTTGCTACCTTAGAACCTTTACAGTACAGTCGTAAGCCATTTAACGAATGTTAGGTTTAATTTTTCATCAAAAGCTTAAATTGCACAAACCGTCAACAGCATGCACTTCCATTGTACAAAGTACATGACAGAACAAAAACATGTCCCAGATTTGGTGTAACAAATTAGAAAACAGTATAAGACCGAGTAGGATCGAAATGCCCCTATTCCACCATAATAAGTGGAACAAAAATTAGGAAGATGAGATAAGATTGATAAATTACTTAAGACGAAGAATCGTGTGAGAATAGGAGTTAAGATGAGAAGTATAAGAAGAAATATGGACCCTTGATCACTTTCAATCTCACCCCCATCAAATGAATTGCGCTTCTCATAGGAATTGATCCGGTACATCTTGATGCATCTCATTTATGATTTTCATTTATAATTGATCCAATAGTGGAAATCTCTTCTGACCCTTATCGTCATAACTTTCATTCTCACGGAACCGAACTCTATTACTTAAACGATCCGATGTTAAATTAAAACCATAAAACCTTCAGCATTTCTTTCACCCACCTACCTCACTTTCGTCCATCTAGTCCTGTCGAATCAAGTCTTGTCCACATACCAAACGCTCCCTAAGCCAACTTACAAGGCGAGAAAGTCAAATAGGATAAACGTACGATCAATAAGAGCGTAAATTCCTCAAGGAACGCAGTGCGAATAATTGAATCAAAATGAGCATTTCCATCCATTTGCAGATTATATTTCTGTAAAGATGACCGATCAACTTCTAGCTGATCGAATAATACATATAAACTAACGGTGAAACCGGCAAGAGAACAAAACATAAATATTCAAGGTCCCTCGTAAAGGTTATGCTAGTTCTATTCCGACTTTGAAGCAGGATATCAAATACAGATAAAGATCGATGATCACGTGCTAAATGCTTACATATTTCATTAACTCGACGACCTCGTAGTTTCAACGAGATTCCCAATCCTTGATCTTTTTACCTTTAGGTTTTGCTATAGGCGCATTCATACCCGCCATTTTGGTGTTGTATTTTGCCCGAAGCGTATCGTTGTATGTCCAGCTGCAAAACATTAAAAACATGTTAAAGGGGTTTTGGGAAGTAGTATATAAGGTTCCATGGCATATGAATTTTAAGATTTTGGAAAAACTATGACCGTTCAAGAGACAGAAATATCATCATAAAACCAAATGAAACCAATATATCGCCCTCGGAGATGGTGTCTAACGTAAGATGTACACATAACCTAACCTCTAACCCAAAGAGTAGAGCAGCAATTTTCGTGAAAACCCCACGCTTGTGAAAATTGTGACAATTAGGAGACTCGGATATGATCGCTCAAGAAAAAGAAATGTAGTCATAGAACCAATTGAAACCCGGTATATCACCCTCGGTGATGGGGTCTAGCGTAAAATGTACGCAAACCTGACTTCTACCCAAAAGAGTAGAGCGGTAGTTTCCGTGAAAACCCCAAGCTTGTGAAAAGTGCGACAAAGAGAGAAAGTTAGATGAGATAAAGATACCTATATGCCCACCATATTACAAGTAAATGGATGAGGTTAAGTTGGGTCCAGAGCATTCTTCTGCTTTGTTTTTGTTATAAAGTTATTATAGACGTTTGAAAAATATCCGTAACATTTTTTCTTGAATGGGAGGGAAGGAGTAGTCATTGCACCCGAAACAAAAGTGAAAATCTCAATCTAATTGCAATATGAATCAAAGTATTCAACAAGCTGCAGATAATTCCGTCATAAATACATTTCGTTGTTTTCCTATTCACTTCATGCAGAATAAGTTTAAGCAAATGAGATTTAGCTCGTTATTTACCTCTGAAATTAAGAAGACACTCGTGCATACGTATTTTTTGATTTGTTACATAAAACAGAGCAAACTTGAACCATTAAGACCATGTTTCGTAACCATAAGCTAGCCAATGACCAAATGTGAAATGAGGCATATTCATCACCAACAAATAAGCTCCCACTACTAAGACCAAAGTAACCATAAGCTAGCTTATTTTTTGGGCTTATTGAAAAAGCCCCATTTGGTTAGCCATAAGCTACGCTTTTTGAAAAGCTACTTTAGATAGCATTTCAATAACCTCGGGGTTTCTTTTCCACTTCCTTTTCCGATTTTGCCACTTATATTTTTCCAATTAATTCTTCAACATGCCTTTTTAGGTCATTTTACATTGTCATCTAGCTTATCAGCTAGTTTTTATCAAACATGATTAGTTTAACAACTGGTTTATTAGCCAACAACTAGCTTATGAGGTAGTTTGCCAAACATAGCCTAATAAGCTTCTCAGGTGTCATGGATCATAATAGGTATCAAGCATTTCCAAATGGTTGTCCCCTTTAAATTTTGTTTGCTAGAAAGTACGAATGAATATGATTTTTAGGCCTAAAATACCATAAGCAAAGGTATAAAGTTATGATTTATTAGGTCAAAGATACCATATAAGCAAAGGTATAAGGTTATGATTTATTAAGCCTAAACTACCCTATAAGCAAGGTATAAGATGTAGTAGAAAAATGGGATCATTACTAGCTTAAAAGGCAGCCAATAATGCTTTAACACTACATGTTTGGTTAAGGTTTTAGCTTTAAGGGGTGAAATGTTAAATACTTGGCTTGACTAGCAAAAGTGAATTTCACACTTGGATATTTTCCAGGTATACCACGTTCGTTACCTTCAGTTCTTGAGATAGACTTCATTTTTCAGTTTTACATAAAAAAAGGGAAAAGTGCATCAAAATACAACAGAGTTTGTTTTAGTTCCTATTTAGTGTAACGAATATTTTTTCTCTCAATCAATGTAAAAAAAGCTTCAAAATTTCCTATTTTGTACCCATTTTGACAGATAACCTATTGATCCTGCAACATCTCATGACGTGGATAAGGGTTTATGAAATAATTACGAAGGGGTTATAGCAACGAGGACAATAAACTTGACATTCACGTCACCAAAAAGTAGGAATTTTTTAAACTTTGTTACATTGACTCAAAAATTTTGAAACTTTGTTACATTAAATAGGATATTTTGAAACTTTGTTATATTGATTGACCAAAAAAATTCTTTCCATGTTGCACTTTGCGGCTTTGCCATATAAAAAAGTTAAGCTAAGCTTGTGTTGAACTTCTGCAATTTTAAGTTTTCCTTTAGGTATCTCTCAACTCGCTAAAGGAGAGAAGGGGAAGATTATACCACTTAACTTCCACAAACTACTGACTGTATTATGTATTTGTTCATACCCTTCTTGACCATTTCGTAAAATGTAGGTGCTTCAAAAAAAATGATCTGCCAAACACTGTGCATGGCATTAGGGCTTTCCAGCTACTTGGCCAAAAACCCAAAAACTTTAGAATTAGCAAGTAGCCCTCAAGGATGTAGACCATTAAACCCTAAAACGTATTTGATGATTGTATAACATGATTCTATGTGTTCACTAACCAAAACTCTAAAAACGATTTGGTCTCCTTAATCATAAACTTCTTAACATCATGACACACATTACTAGAAACTACTAAACTTAACAAAGTAAACAGGAATCATGGGAGATACAATATGATACATGTAAATGCTTTAGCATGATTGAATGAATGTAGGAAAAATTTCCTGTTATCCTTGGAAATGTGGCTGTAAAGATGTCAGGCAATTTGGTTATGCACGATACACTACCCTAACAATAAGAATAAAACCAAAAAGAGTTGATAATCAAGGCCTAGTGAACTCCATCCTGAGAGCAAGCTTCAAGCTCTTTGACATCCTTGAATTACCTTATTATTCGTTACATCAGCAGTTATGTGTCATCACTTTATTCATCAATCAACTTATGATGTACTAATTTACTACCCATCAATTTGCAACTAATAAATATGAAATAAAGATTGACAATATAGATAGGCATAGAAATTTTTACATTCACAAGCTATAATATAGAGTTGCTTTTGTAAGAACTCAAACAGAAAGACTATAATATGAATCACGTGATTACATTAGCAGTTATCACATAATTACCCTGCATTTATCAATTTCATTATGTGGTAAGCAGGAACAACCTGGCTTTATGTTTAAGTAGGATTTCCGAAACTTAATCAAGAGTCACTCGTATGATATTTTCCTTGGAAAGTGTGGTTTACAGAACAGGATTCAGGAAGTAATTCTAAGAAGAAAAACATTTACAATGAACAAGAAAGTGAACACTGTGCCTTTGAACATAAAACTTGTTATGGATGAGCACATGGGACCAGACTGAATCATACTTTGGTGTCTGCTGCTATTAACAGTACACAAACGTCTATGAAGGAGCCTAAATGCTAATACTAAAAGATTTCATGTAGCTTGAGAAAGCTCTGAGAAGTCGCACAAGGCTTTTATTTACAACTTAATGACCTTAATGATCTGGATGGCTTAATCGCTCATACAGGAGTGTTTCTTTATGACCTGATAGTTAAGCCATTAAGCCAAAATGGCTATATGGAATAAGCCAGGACCCCTCACTTGTCCCCATTAAGCCACATCAAACAAATTAATGCCAGAAATGATCCAACCCTCTCTCTTTGCCTCCCTCAGAACCATCGGTCCCTTGTCCCTCAATCAGACATGCTTATCCAGACAGACAACTTAACCATATAGGGCTTAATGAAAAAAGGTAAACATCCCCTGAGAGACTTGCTGAACTGATTAAAACATATTAGTTTAGAAAACTGTTTCTTTTACATGTTTTCACTACAAGCTGACCAATCAAAAAACAGACTAGAATTATTTTAAAGAAAATTCCATCCAACCTGCAAACCGCAAAAAGCAATTTCTAGAACCCAACACCAAAATATTTGAGCATTCACCAAATAAACAAGTACTCTCACACAGTCACACTACAGCATCAAAATAAAAGTTAAGACAAGTTGGGAGATGAGAGAAACAAAATTCAGCAGGTCAACCTCATTGATGCATAAGACAGAAAAATAAATGCAAAAAGATGCAATGTATAGAAGATAATGTACTTACGGATTGTTCCAATCAGTGGTATCCTCATTGACAAGGTGAGTCCATTTTGTTCTTCCACTACGACCGAAGTGCTTGACCTGCATAACTTTCGGTAAAATAGTCTTGTCCATCTTATCCTCTCCAGTTGGTGCAGAGAAATCACGGTGGAAAATGCCATCAGAACCAACTGTTGCGGCGGTATCATCAGGATCGTCCTGGAAGAAAGCACCCTTGTGATAGTATTTCTGCATGAACCTCCATTTCTGTTTGGGGGCAGAAGCAGGTTTCGGGTTCTTCCTCTCCCACTCTCTCCTCTCTTCCTCAGTCATATTTCTAACTCTCTCAATTTCTTCCCTCTCCTTCACCAATGCATCCCGATCCTCTCTATCTCTTTTAATTCTAGCAATCTCCCGAGCCTTCCATGCTTCATATTCTTCCGCCTCATTCAACTCGTCATCTGTGTCTACATCAGCAATATTAGCCTCGGCTTCCAAATTCTTTTGGATTTCCATATCTTTACGTATTTCCTCAACAACTATCTGTTTTGTCTCCACCTTCCTCTCCTCCGCCCTTCTCAACATTAACTCCTCAATTGCCCGTTCTTCCGCCTCAATCTTCTCACGTTCTGCAATAGTATCTCTTTCTGATTTTGGCACAAACACAGGCTTCACCATAGCCATACCCATTTGCTCTTCCTCTGAATCCGTCTCGTACTCAGATGATTCCTCTTCTTCCTCCTCTTCCTCCTCCTCCTCCTCTTCAGGAATCATTGCAGCTTCCTCTTGCTCCCTCTGAAGCAACTTTTCCCTAATCCTCCTCCTCCTTTCATCCAAAGCATCCTCATCATCTTCCTCAAATTCCAACCTTTCTTGTCTCCTCTGCTCCTCTTCCTCAGTTGAAATAATTTCAGCTTGTCTAATTCGTCTATGATCAGCTCTTATTTCTTCCTTATTATCCAACCTATTCTCCGCCAATCGACGCAGCCTAGGATCATCTCTTTTCATGATATCAGAATCTTCCCTGCTAGGAAAAGCCTTCTCCAATGCGACTGACCTCGCCATTCGTATATCACCCTCTTCATCGCCATCATCTGCCCACTCAGGAGCTTTACCAGGCCAATACCTCTTCACTTTCGTCTGCCCAATTTTACCTCTAAGCTTATCCCTAACCGCTATAACAGTATCACTAACACCCGCCGTTACCGACATCGTAACAGATAAAATCAACCAACAAAAACCCTAGTTTTCCAAAACCCAGAAAACCTGCAACAAAAAATAAAATAAAACCGAAACGCATCTGAAAACCAATTGGATTTAATTCGTATAATATTATCAATTAAACGTTCTCAATCTAGACTTGATGAAGGAAATCGACTGATATAGCTGTAAATTAATAAGAACAACTTACGAATTAACGTGGCGAGCTCGATCGCCTCTGAAAAAAACCCTGATTCAGTGATTCCTTTTGAGATCAAGTTTATTTGCAGAAATTATGCGCAATTACGCAGAGAGAAGCAATTCAATTTCGAGCCCTAGACGATCCTATGCTATAGAATAGTGAATACACGCACAATTTTTCATGTATGTACCTTTTTGGCCCTCCAGTATGTGGTGAATCAACTTTTAACCTATTAACGGGTTGTTTCAGTCAACTGGGGGTCTTATATGATAAGGGAATATCATAACTATTATCCGATTAAACATTTATCGGATAAATTGTTATATATGATGTCGTTTTGATTGACTAAAATCTTATCCGATAAGGTAAATGAAAGTGTAGACTTTTACCGAGTAAGTGTTTGGGTAAACGGCTCCTTAAACTAATTTTAACTATCTCTTAAGTAATGTTTGGTATACAGATTGGAGTAGACTTAACAAATTATATCAAAATATAACAGATTTTTAGAAACCAGTGTCAAAATCTCTATTTTAAGTTTCAAATGGCTTCCCATTTGGGAAATAAACTTCCCACGCTTCTCGTTTTAAAGAATCACAATGAAATTAACTTTGATCTCGTTCATATTTTAAAACATGAATTTAACCATTGAATCCCTTAAATTAGAGGCTCGGATTTTTTTGTTTTTAAAAAACAAAGGTTTTTAAAATCGGTTTTCTAGAATAAATATAAACGCGGAGTTGGTTTGATTTTAATAGAATATGTATTTAAAAAGATTTTTTAATTAATAAATTGAATATTAAAATATTATCCGGTGATGAATGAAAAAATTATGAACTTCAATAAAGACAAAAAAAAATCGCTTTATAGCGATCGTTGATGGCAAAGGATTGCCACATCCTGCTTTCTCGGAGTAGTGACGACTATTGAACTATGGATCAATAACATACATATTCTACAGTTATTTGCAACATATAATTTACGGATAATTTAAACAACTGAACAGTCTAAAAACTAAATGTCCGGTGTTGAAATATATTACAAACTGAAATACTGAAAGCTTATCACAAATACTGGTGTCAACTTAACAACTACGATCCTTGGTTACAAACAACAACTCAGCAAATAGGGATGGTGATTTGTCCCGACCCGGTGGGGAACCCGGTTCACCCGACCCGAACGGGGACGGGGATTCCCCGCTAAAACGGGTCCCGGGGCCGGGGCCGGGGATCCCCGATAGACTCAAACCGGGGACGGGGAATATTACTCAAAACGGGGCCGGGGTCGGGGCTGGGGATCCCCGGTATAATCAAACTAAAGCATACTTTTTACCGGGTTTTGACCGAGGTTTACCGGGTTTTGACCGGGGATTGCTAAAATTTGACCGGGGACGAGATGATAATCCCCGTACCCGCCGGGGACCGGGGCCGGGGCCGGGGGACGGTATTACAAACCGGGGCCGGGGATTACAAAACCCGGCCCATCCCTGCCCCGTTGCCATGCCTATCAGCAAACGCTTGGTAAATCTGATCACATTCATACAAGAAATGATAAAGCTTGGCCTTTACGATAAGATTAGGAAACATGAGTGATCAACAGAGACAAACTACCGCTTATCTACCACTACCGCCCTTACATGGGTATGGCAACGGGTGGGGATGGGGTGGGGGTTACTGATCTTCGGCCCTGGTTTTTAGTAACGGCCCTGGCCCTGATCCCCGGTAGGTATAGGGATTAACATTATGTTCCCGATTTATTTTCTGATCAAATCTCGATTCTCATTCCCGGTCCACCGCCTCTGCCACCCCTACCACCGCCACCACTTCCTTGGCTCCTCATCAGACAGTCTACCACCTTTGTCCTTCCCTGTAATCTCACATTGGTTTCAACCATTTTTTAACAACACACATATGCACACCAATTTTAAATAGACATATATTATAGAATACATAAACACATAGTACCACAAAAAAAAAAAAAAAAACAACTGATGTCATATCCAACTGTGAAACAAGATGAATGTAAGAAAACCTTGTAATAGTGAAACTATATATGGCCAACATCTATATAGATTCATAAATGTTTTTTTTTTTTTGGAAGAGTGACTCATACTATACTTGGACTAATCCTGACAAATCGTAACCGCAATAAATCTACTCTCGTAAACCCAGTGGCCACAATTATTGTGTACACCTGGAATTGAACTATGGGCAAATGGAATATTCAACCACTACACTACGCCACAACACTTTTATGGGTTTGGTTCACAAATGTTGCCAACTTGAGTCGATACATCATAAGAACAATATTGGGTTGTCGATAAATACTTCAAAATAAAATACATGGTCACACGTTACATGTTTCCCCTGTTATTAAAATGGCCTCTTGTAGAGGGTTATCTTATAATCTTGTAACTTCACCATGGTAGTTCGTCATATCGAACCATTGACTTGTTTTGAAAAAGAATTATGGGATATAAAATTTGTCGTGTTTGGTTATGAAATATGAGTTTGAAATACGTTTATTTACCATATTTGCAAAAAAGAAACACAGTTGTCAGGAAAATGACCATATTTGTAAGTTCAATGGTTATTATGGACTGTATTTTTCTTTTTAAAAATGCTGGTTACCTCTACGCAAGAGTTTTCATGCGTTATAATTAACAACCGTCTACAAAACAATGGTGCAATACCATAAAGATTTTTAACAACTATATTTTGCACAACTCGTCTAAGAGACCGTTTACTAAACGCTTACTTGGTAAGTGCTTACCAAATAGATTTCTTTATCGGATGAACACGACAAGAGCCAATAATCTTACCGGGTAAGAGCGATGAGAAGGATGAAGAGTCTTACCTGGTAAGTGAAGATTACGACTCTTACCCAAGTAAGCGCTTTTCCCGGTAAATTATTGCATTCAATACGTTTTGACATACTAAAATCTTACCCATCAAAATAAATCACAGTGTTGACTCCTATAGGCAAGCACTTATCGGACAAACATTTGGGTAAACAATCCCTAAGTAACACTGTTTGATGTTTTTATGGGCGGGCCTCTTGTGTGCATGAGTGTACCCGTAATCACTGCGTACGTTTCATTACCAAACAACTACGATAAATAAGTTCAACCATGATTCTCTTATTCTTATACTTTAATCGCCGTTGCATTACAACTTCACATGCCTAATAAATGCGATTTCAGACAAAGATTTTAATGTAGCATTGATGTTGTGACGCAAAATAAATACCCAAAAATTTTCAAGGAAAGAAAGTTCGGTTATTTACCGTTAGTCTATGTATTTTGTATATCCACACAATAACACTATTTATAACAAAACAATGTTAAAACCCTGAATTCAAGTTAAACTATACATGTAAAAATAATTATGGGTCTGTTTGGCAGTTGCTGAATGGTTTGGTGTAGAATGATTAAGTGATCAGAATAATTAAGAGGCTCTTATAATATAGTGCAAAATGAAATATAATTGTCTGATAATTATTCAGAATGAAATTAGGATGCTGAATGGTTAAGGGAGACCTAAGATACAAAATCATTCAGATGATTTTAAAACCATTAAGAGGCAAATTGTTTTTTGCCTAACAAAGATTCACCCATTGGTGATTCAGACTTTAAAGACTGCTCTTAATGAAACTATTAACAGGTAAACAAACAACCTCTATCTATCAGACGTCTCTTAAAATTTACAAAACAACATATATTTGATTCATCATTTAGTTGTATAAAAAATAAAGTAACTTATAATAATAATACATTTTTACAAACAATTATCGTCTATTTTTGGAAAACTTAAATACCAAAATGACGAATTTATCCTTGTGAATAATATACCTTTGACAACAATAAAAACGATGATTTAAATGGTATCATCATTATGTATTTCATCTGAATCACGAACAAACTAACGCCAATGATAAAAATTTCATTTATCTTATCGTAACCCGCTAAAACGAGTTTATTAAATTATGTATTAAATTAGACGATGAAAATAAAATCTTCATGGATATTTATGTAATTTTACACTCTAGAGTTCTTTTTGGTAAATTGATTTATTCTCCTTTAAAAAAATATAATAATAATAATACTAATAAACAAAACCTCAAAAATTTAAGCCGTCAAGATTTTACTCCGTCAATCTCCATTCGTTAAATCATCGCACGCCTCTTGCCCTAACAAAATCCCTTCTCATCGAACCAAGATTCACAGACTCCTTCTCTTCGCTTTTCCCCAAAATTATTTTCTTTAAATTTATAAAAATTAATTCAAAATTCATAAATTTACCGGATCTGAACTACTCGTCGGCGCTTAAACCCGTCTCCGAAACCCTAAAAGTTACCAGAAAAACCAAACAAATCTCTTACCGATTGCTCCTTGAGGTGGGTTTGTTTCGGTAGAGATCGAGGAGCTTTTCTTTTTCTTGTTCTACAGCTGGTGAGTTATTGAATTTCTAGATACATATATTTGTGTATACATGCATGCAATTGTTGTTGGCGTATGTGGTTCGGAGCAAGATTTGTTGTTTGTTGTTCGTGGGTTTTACTGGGAATGGAAGAATGGACAAGAAGAAGGAAAAAGAAAGAAAAAAAGAAGCTCAAATGGGTGTCTTATGTTTTTGTTGCTAGACAAGTGTGAAATTTGATTTTTGAAGGTTTTAGTTTGGTACATTTTGTGAAGAACGTTTATGCATTTTTGTTGTTATTTTTTCTTCTTGAACTTAGGACCGTAATTTACCACATTGGTATCATTTTTGGCTATTTCCTCTGTACATGGTTTGTATCCTTGTTTGGTTTTCCTATAGTTTGTTTAGCCAATTATTCTTACATTTTTTGCAAATCTCAGCTGGGCATGGCTGTACTTTAAACTTTCTATGCTAATTGATTGAGGGAATTTAGTAAGAGAAGTGATTATTCTTGTTGGTTTTTGATGCAGAATTATTGAAGTAATGCCCTGAATTCTGAGGAAGTAATGGCCTCTAAAGGTCCAAGGTCTAGACTTGATCATGAGACGAGGGCCAAGCGGCAAAAGGTGAGTTTGGGTACATTTTGCATGAAGAAACATGTACTAGTAGCATTTTCTTTAGGTTGCTGCACATGTTAATCCTTAGATCTGTCCCTGCAAAATCTTTAGACCATTTGGTTGTAGTTGCTTTACTTAACATTATGTGGAAGTGACGGTTTTATTTGTTATTTATGGTTGATTGAGGATATGCTTTGCAATTTGCATCTTTGTATTCAAGCATGTAGCCAAGTTGAAATCCTACTTTGCATAAATATTTCATGTATTAAAGGTTGCTTTTGTCTCTGTTTTTTTGCCAACTTATTGATAGATTAGGTTGCTTGTACTCGAAAGATGAGAAAGAAGAAATTAAGTAGAAGATGATAAGTTTGAGTACAGTGAAGGGACAATGTATGTTGATACAGGGAACTTTGGGATTGCAAGGAATGTAATTATATATATTAATATATATATACACACACACATAGATGAAGCTATTTTTATGTACCATGGGTGGATAAGAATCCTTAGGTTGCATAGTTGATGGAAGTTTTGATAACACCTTCATCCGGTATCCCAGGCTTTTGGTGCTTCTGTCTATACCTTTTCTTTTTAGGGAACTTCCATTAATTCCGTTTCCTCTCAAACTCCCATGCTCCCCCTACGATTGTCTCGTTGTTTAAAATATTCTCAAACCCAAGAGTGAGAATAAGTGAATAACCAAGCCAAATCAAACAAATCCAATATATTCCATCAAGAGGTAGGGCCTGAGAGGGGTAGGATGTATGCATACCTTACGTCTGGCTCAAGAGACAGAGGTGCTGTTTCCGAGAAGACCCCAAACCCAAGGGTGAGAGTATAACCCCTTAAAATAGTAGGTTGACATGCATCGTTGGATTTAGCTCTTCATTGGTTTGGGATTTCTAATGCATATATCAGGGTTTCAAGTAATTAAGGTGTATTGTAGCTTATGCATGTAATGATGGGAAGAGGCCTGACCTTAAGACTTATGCTGAGTTCGAATATCGAAAGAGAAAAGGTTATGCACATTCTTATGAGCTGAAGGACAACACTTACTTTTATTTTGTAATGTTTTCAAACACATAAATGGATGACTATAGTCGTATTTTAGTCATTTAAAAGGCGGCAACTTTTCCTTTCTCTAAGCAACTTCTTTATAGATGATTTTCGTCTTACATCATACAAGGAATGTTTCCAATGATGTTGCTACAATTTTTTTAATTTGATGTCAATTATAGATTTAAGGTTGATACACTTTAGCAACACCTGCTTGGCTCTGATGAGATATCATACTTTGCATATTTGTAACTCATAACTCATATTCAACACATTGTTAAAACTTGAAAGAGGTAAGCATCTGCCACTGGAAGAACTGTCGGTATGTTACCATGTACTTTGATGAAACATGTTTTCTTCATTTTTCACATTTATGTAATGATATATACTACTGCCAAGTTGCGGACCATGCTCAAACACATATACATTATTGACCATCAATCCTATTCTAGGCACTTGAACCACCCAAAGAACCCCGGCGGCCCAGAACTCATTGGGACCATCTTCTAGAAGAGATGGTGTGGTTATCAAAGGTATGATTTTGTTCTATATCGGCCGTTGTATTTTGGCATAAATGTTAGATATTCTCACGGACTTGTCATTAGATTAATGAATTGTGAACATTTTGTTGCAAAATACTATTTACTATCAGGATTTCGAGTCAGAGAGAAAATGGAAATTGGCCCTGGCAAAGAAGATTGCCACAAGGGCCAGCAAAGGTATGGTGGATCAGGCCACAAGAGGAGAAAGACGAGTGAAGGTTGGTTGTTCTCCTAATCTTACAAATTTTATCATATGGAAACTCTAATTAGATATTGATTTGATCTTCAAATTGTCAATGTTGCGTTGCAAATGATCAGGAGGAAGAGCTCCGGATGAAAAAAGTTGCACTCAACATTTCCAAAGACGTGAAGAAGTTTTGGACGAAAATTGAGAAGCTGGCAAGCCATTTTCATAATTTAATATATGGGGGAGTTGCAGGTTACTTTTTAATTTGGATACAAAATTGTAATGCTTCATGAAATATCATGTGACTGCAGGTGCTATACAAGCATCGGTTAGAGCTTGATCAAAAGAAGAAAAAAGCGCTTGATAAGCAGCTTCAGTTTCTTTTAGGACAAACAGAAAGGTAAGATTATGCGTCTAATAAAGTTTTGCCTTTTTGGATACTCAGCCTTAAACGCCTACTTATTATGCATGTTTACGAAACAATGATGATCTCAGGTATTCAACAATGCTGGCAGAAAATCTTGGGGATTCATCTCCTCGTCAGCATGTGCATTCATCCTTGGTGCAGGAACAACCGGCAATTCAATATGAAGATCATACCGATATCAATGGGTGTGCTGAACCAAATGTTGGTATGAAGAAAGTGTTTCTCCGAAGTTCAAATTATATCTCGAATTCCCTTGTTGAGGACGTTTACATGACCTGATTTATTCCTTTTGGCAGAGTCCCAGTCAGATATTTTAGAAATTGACGAAGACTATAAGTCTGAAAAGGAACCAGTAAGTTTTTGTTCTCTTTCTTTTTAACTGTAGGGGAGGTTTAGGGGGAAACCGTCAAAAAATGAAAAACTGAGGAACACCCTGGTAACCATTCATCTCGATGATATACACATGTGCATACAAGTAATTGAAGCTGTTTCTTGGTTTCTATGCACTTGTGCATACCAGACAAATTACCTCTATGCACATGTGCATACCTTACAAATGAATCATTACTAGGGTGTTCCTTAGTTTTTCATTCTTTTGCGGTTTTCCCTTAAACCTGACCCTAGGGAACTCATTTATTTTATTCTCAAACACACCCCACATATGTCATGTTAAGATAAGAAGTATCTTGTATTAAACAGTGGAAGGAATAGAATCACACATATACACAAGGAAGTTACAGGGTCGAAGTTACTCATCCAAAAGTTTACTAGACACGGCTATACAGCCGGAAAACACAAAGAATCTCCATTTTATTTAGTTACACACTATATTCAACTTAGAAAGTAGCCATCTCTTCAGTCTTCACTTCCTTTTCTTTATAGACAGTTAAGCCAAACAATGCAAATAATATAACCTAGTCTTCTTTGAAGCATCACCATCGGTTCTTCAACTTTTAGAAACAGAATTTACCCAAAAGATGCTCAGGTTAGAACGGAAATGGAATAGTGTGTCCTGGATCAATGGAGGTAGTTTTGCCTAGGACAACGGGCGAAACTGCACCTTCACTCATTTCTGAATTTTCCATACAAGTGCTTGTGGCCCAACAATCGCTTCAATTGAACGATAAAAGGTAGCAGCTCAGCCACACCAGCTGTGCTCCCTTTAACATACATGGGTCTATAGTGGTTCACATATGCAAATCGAAGGATTAAGGTCTTGGGTTGGAGGAAACGTAAGTTGGCGTCTACTTACATATAAAAGGATAGAATTATTTAAAAGGGAGACAAACGTAATTAAACAAATAGTTTCTGAACTCTATATATATTGTTAGCAAATTGCAGCCACCCTAGGGTTTAAAAAACCTATAATCAAGGCCTATTTTCTTGGTTTCGTTAGGGATGGGTTGAAATCAGGAAGCAATCTCTTTGCAGAAGGCAAGGGGAATGCTCTGTTCAAGGACTTCCCTTCCCAAAGCACGCATAGCCGAGGAGCCTTAGGGCCTGTTTTTTAGCAGCTTAATGAGGGACAACTTATTGGGTCAGCTATACATGATTGTCTGGTAGTGGCTTAATGATAAAGAAAGCGGCTTATTCACTAAGCTTCTAAAGGGAGCTTTATGCAGCAAATCAAGTTTTTTCTAAACCCGTCCTCCCAATTAAATAACACGCTCCTTCCATCATGAAAAAACCCTCCCAAACAAAAACCTTCCTAATCCATACTCCACATCGACAGGTTTATCCATACAGGTCTTGATGAAAAACCAACCAAACAGCCCCTTAGTGCACTTGGGTTGTGAAATGCTCGATCAAGACCACAATTATTTAAATAGTGCATATGAGCTGAAGTTAAGCTCAAATGTCTTTTTCTTGTTGCTGCTTTAGGAAGATGATGAGCATACGATTGAGGAAGATGAAGCCCTCATAACTGAAGATGAAAGACGAGAGGAACTAGAAGCTTTGCACAATGAAGTAGATTTACCCCTTGAGGAGTTACTCCGCCGTTATGCAGTTGGAGAAGGTTAGTCATTCTGAGCCTCTTCTGCCTCAATTTATCTTCCATTTGGTTGAAGTCATTTGCAACTAGTTAGCTTGTCATTCAATGTGGTGGGTTTGATTCGAGAATATGCTTCCTAGATTGTTCGATGAAACTTGTTTTCTTTTTATAATTTGAAGTAGGAATTGTTACCTTTATGAATCTGAGGCTGCCGAAGTACTTTCTGCTTCGCTGCCGGAGTTTACATTGCATGATCTAAGATCTTCTATACAGTATTTAGTAGAAGTTTTCATAACTTTGAATGGATTGTATGAATGTTAAAAAGAACCGAAAATGCGCATTGAAAATGACAGTAAAACCCCCCACCATAATGCTAGATGAGCTCGGGAAAGCGATCTCTCTTTCACCTCACTTTTGTCTCACTCTCTCGAGATTAAAGTTCTGAATTGGTCCTTTATCTCTGCACCCGAACTAATCTTAATCACTGAGTATCTTCAGATAATACAGAAAGTACTCCAGGAAAGACTGATGGTGTAGCTGAACTAACCCAGGCATCGGAAGATGACTCTCGGTGTAAGTAATGTGGTTTGTCTTTATTGTTTCAATCATAAATGGGTTCACTGTTGATTACTTTTCTTTGCAGGTAACGGAAATGACAGTTCTGATCATATATTAAGGAGAAAGAGTACTCAACCAGCTCGGAGTCGTCATTGTGTAAGTTGTAGGTCTTCATTATGGTTACTAATATAAATTGTGAAGTAAGTTCACTGCAGAGCATGATACATTTCCTTGGTCTTATTACAGGCTGAAAGTAATGGCGGCTTATCAGTTTCAAAAAATCATCATTCAGAAGTCGAGAAACATGGCATTAGAAAGAGGAAAGGACTTCAAGAGGGGCGCAAAAAATATTTGGAATTAGACTTTAATGATGAAAATGTAAGTTATCAGTTAACTTGTTGGTAAACTGGTTTCTGCTCGTGTTACAAAATTATTTCCGCCTTTTAGCCGAGTTCATGGATTGTGTCAACTACATCCCAAGTATTTAACATACACGAAAATTGATCAACAACATAAACCCTGCCTCTCTTGACTGGCATTTTCACATGGCTGGGTTAGTGTAGGTGACAGCTTCTGGATTCAGATGCTCTAAGCCGCACTGTTTACTTGTTGACTATTATATATATATATATATATATATGGCTGGATTAGTGTAAGTGACAGCTTCTGGATTCAGATGCTCTAAGCCGCACTGTTTACTTGTTGACTATTATATATATATATATATATATATATATATATATATATAGGTTCAGGTTCAGGGGAAAACCGCAAAAAATAAAAAATTAAGGAACACCCTTGTAACCGNGGCCAATATATATATATATATATATATATGGCTGGGTTCAAATAAAAATCACTCAATTTGTAAAAACCGTGAAAACCTCATTCAACCAATCATAACTGTTTACTTGTTGACTATTATATATATATATATATATATATATATATATATATAGGTTCAGGTTCAGGGGAAAACCGCAAAAAATAAAAAATTAAGGAACACCCTTGTAACCGTTGCATACAAGTAATTTGTAAGCAATTTGTCCGGTATGCACATGTGAATAACATGCACACGTGCATAACATGCACACGTGCATAAAAATCAAGAACCAGCTTGAACTATGTGTATGCACATGTGCATATCGTTATAAATGACTGTTTACCGGGTGTTCTTCAGTTTTAAAATTTTGTGGGGGTTTTCCCCTGAACCTCCCCCCCCTTCTCTCTCTCTCTCTATATATATATATATATTTCTTCGTTGTTGTTGCTGCATGATATCTACTAATCTTGTAATCCTAAATATCTGTATGTATACATGATGTTTATGCAGACATATAATTATCATTTGAATAACCACTTCTCATTTGATTTCTGTGTGTGGAAGAGGATTTTCTTGCGACTTACAAACGAAAAACCTATAGTTGTTTGCAAAAGATAACTTTGTCACACAAAAGGGATTATTTGTTTGCATGTTTATAAGCATGGCATGGCCCTTTCTTTAGTTGGATTTTTGTTATCAGTATTTTGCAAGAAATTGGCACCCGCCATTCAATAATCCTGTGATTTGCCTGCTTTTTTAGTAAAGCGATTCAGTAATTGGCAATGTCACATTTGTGGGTCCTTACTTTTCATGCACACTTATCCTCCTCAAGTGGCCTTGCTGTTTTACTTTTAGCTTAGTAGTTGTGCACCACTTCCTAATGACGACTTGCTCATTATTTGTCTGTTCATGGTTGACTGGTTGAGCAAATTTGATGGACATTGAGTGGTTTACCATGCAATATAGTTACACACACCCATGCATTCTTACACACACACACACACACATATATATATATATATATTCATATCATTTCATGGTTTATGTAGGAGGATGGCGACTTTATACTTGCAAATGGAGAGGAAAAGGTATGTTATATTAAATATGATGTATTATAAAATTCTGAAACTTGTTATCTTGTGTCTGTGTTGCCTTATAAATTTGCTTGGGTACAGGAAAACTTCTCCCACTTCTTTTTCTGCAAATTAGGATTTACACATTTATTTTTCTCACCCTCTTGTTCACATTCAACCACTATGTTATCTTGCAGTTCTTAGGTTCACAATGATTTACACAGCCATTTTATGGTATTAGGATCTTGTTATGTGAAAGTGCATGAAATGTATATCTTTCAAAGAAAAGCTACTTTAAGTAGCTTTTCAAAAAAATAGTTTATAAATAACCAAACTGGGCTTTTTTAATAAGCTAAAAGGTAAACTACTTTATAAGCGCTTTTATGGGGTCAAAGTCAATAGCAAGTCTATTTTGTCAAAGGCTGCAACTTCTTTTTGATTTGAATTTACCTAATATATCCATGTTATTTCACTATTTGTTTTTGGATGCAGGATGATGAAACGACCTTGCTGGAGGAAGAAGAACTAGCAAAGGCCGAGGCTGATGATACAGTAGATGAGGTGAATAGATTGCCTTTTGACTTTGAGATTTTATCTTTCTGTCATATTCATGGTGCATCTTTCATACCAAGTATCCACACGAGAATATTGGATTTTTTTCTTCATATGGGCGTGGATATTCTCCAAATCTTATGTGGGATTATAAATATTAAGTGTTGAAAATAATATCTTATGAACCAAGCTATTGTTTTGCAGATTGCATTATTGCAGAATGAGAGTGAAATTCCAATAGAGGATTTGCTTGCAAGGTATAGACAGGTATGTTGATAAGGGTGACAACTTGTTGCTTGTAAGTTCTTGCTATTTTCTAATATTATTTTCCCTTATTTATAACAGGATTCTGACATTAATAGAAGTACAGAGGAGGATTCAGAGTCTGAAGGTGCGTCTGAATCTGTAGATTTGTCTGATTCTTCGGCACATCAAGAGACTGAAGTTGATCTGCAGCATGTTCAATTGGATTTGGATGAAGTTCATTCACCTATTGAAATCCCGGTCAACTGTTCTAGAGATATTCAGCATGTTTCCATGGCTGAAGCCGATTTACCTACCGAACTCCATTCAGTCAAATGTTCTACTAGTGAACAGGAAGAAAAGCCAGATCAAACGGTTGATGAGGGTGGGGAGAATGAGGACAGAATTGCTGATGCAGCAGCTGCTGCTAGATCAGCACAGCCAACAGGCAATACGTTTCTGACAACTAAAGTGCGGACAAAATACCCTTTTCTTTTGAAGTTCTCTCTCCGTGAATATCAACACATTGGATTGGACTGGCTAGTGACGATGTACGAAAAAAGACTTAACGGGATTCTTGCCGATGAAATGGGGCTTGGGAAGACAATTATGACGATAGCTTTGCTTGCACATCTCGCTTGTGAAAAGGGGATATGGGGTCCCCATCTCATTGTAGTACCGACTAGTGTCATGCTCAACTGGGAAACGGAGTTTCTAAAATGGTGCCCGGCTTTTAAAATCTTGACGTATTTCGGAAGTGCAAAGGAGCGTAAACACAAGAGACAAGGATGGCTGAAACCGAATTCTTTTCATGTATGCATAACGACTTACAGACTTGTTATTCAGGATTCGAAAATTTTCAAGCGGAAGAAATGGAAATACCTGATCTTGGATGAAGCCCATCTCATAAAAAACTGGAAGTCTCAGAGATGGCAAACGCTTTTAAATTTTAACACAAAGCGGCGTATTCTTTTGACGGGTACCCCTCTGCAGAACGATCTTATGGAACTGTGGTCTTTAATGCATTTCTTGATGCCACACATTTTTCAGTCTCATCAAGAATTTAAAGATTGGTTCAGTAATCCGATATCTGGAATGGTTGAAGGTCAAGAAAAAGTAAATAAAGAAGTAGTTGACCGACTGCATAACGTGCTCCGTCCTTTTATACTCCGTCGCCTAAAGAGGGACGTGGAGAAACAGTTACCGATGAAACATGAGCATGTTATATACTGTAGACTCTCGAGGAGGCAGCGGAATTTGTACGAAGATTTCATAGCTAGCTCAGAGACGCAAGCTACTCTTGCAAGTTCTAATTTTTTTGGGATGATAAGTGTTATAATGCAACTCCGTAAAGTTTGCAACCATCCTGACTTATTTGAAGGTCGTCCCATTATTAGTTCTTTTGATATGAATGGCATCGACATCCAGTTTTGTTCTTCTGTTTGTTCAGTGCTTGCTTCCAGTCCGTTTTCTACTGTTGATCTTTGTGAATTAGGGTTCATATTCACTCATCTTGATTTCGGCATGACATCATGGGAGAGTGATGAAGTTCAAGCCATCGCCACACCCTCGAGCTTAATTGAGGAGCGTGCAGAACAAGTTCAAAGCAAAATCAAGTTTGGGAAAGAGTCGAGTGGGTTTAATATCTTTGAAGAAATTCAAAAGGCACTTATAGAAGAGAGACTAAAAGAAGTTAAGGAACGGGTAGCATCGATTGCATGGTGGAATTCTTTGAGGTGCAGGAGAAAACCCTTGTATTCAACGGGTTTACGAGATATCGTCTCTGTCCCAAATCCCATTTCCGTCTCTACGCTTACAGACATTGTACTGTCTCCGGTTGAACGGTTCAAGCAGATGGTGGATCAGGTCGAGAGTTTCATGTTTGCAATCCCGGCAGCAAGAGCTCCTTCGCCTGCTGGATGGTGCAGCAAATCCGGAACTTCCGTGTTCATAGACCAAAATTACAAGGCGAGATGTTCAACACTTCTATCACCCCTACTAACACCTATTCGTCCTGCTATTGTCCGGAGGCAAGTTTATTTTCCCGATAGGCGGTTAATACAGTTTGATTGTGGCAAGCTGCAAGAGCTTGCTGTTCTTCTTAGACGACTGAAATCAGAAGGTCATCGAGCACTAATATTCACTCAAATGACGAAAATGCTTGATGTTTTGGAAGCTTTCATAAATTTATATGGATATACGTACATGCGTTTAGATGGTTCCACCCCGCCTGAAGAGAGGCAAACTCTAATGCAGCGGTTCAATACGAACCCAAAATTTTTTCTTTTCATTTTGTCAACTCGTAGTGGCGGTGTAGGTATCAATCTGGTAGGTGCAGATACTGTTATATTCTATGATAGCGATTGGAATCCTGCAATGGATCAACAAGCTCAAGATCGGTGTCACAGGATAGGACAGACACGTGAAGTAAATATTTACCGTTTAATCAGCGAGAGCACCATTGAAGAGAACATTTTAAAAAAGGCAAAGCAAAAGCGGGCTCTTGATGATTTGGTGATTCAGAGTGGAGAGTACAACACCGAGTTTTTCAAAAAGCTTGATCCGTTGGAATTGTTCTCGGGACACGGAACGGTTCCTGTAAATAATATACAGAAAGAGAAGACTCGGACTAATGGGGTTGAAGTCCCGGTGTCTAATGCGGACGTGGAGGCTGCATTGAAGCATGCAGAAGATGAAGCGGACTACATGGCGCTAAAGAAAGTTGAACAGGAAGAGGCGGTGGACAACCAAGAATTCACCGAAGAAGCCATCGGGAAACTGGAAGATGATGAGTTATTGAATGATGAAGATGTGAAATTTGATGAATCAGCCGATCATGGTGGATTAGTTACGGCACCAGTAGAAGACAATCTGCAACATGTAAATTGTAGTAACCCGAATGAAGAGATGGATATGAATTTGGTCAAGGATGAAGATGATGTTGACATGCTGGATGATGTCAAACAGATGGCTGCAGCAGCTGCAGCCTCGGGTCAGGAGATCTTATCGTTTGACGATCAACTTCGTCCAATTGAACGTTATGCAGTACGTTTTCTGGAGCTCTGGGATCCTATTATTGACAGTGCCTTGATAGAGCCCCAGGATAGGTTTGAAGAAGCTGAATGGGAGTTGGATCATATCGAGAAGTTAAAGGAGGACATGGAAGCAGAAGGTGATGACGATGAGGAACCTTTAGTCTATGAAAGTGAGTTCCTTCTTTTTGCTGTCATTGTTTACGAAGTTCTTATTGATTTATATTTTATTCAAATTTTCATACGTTGTTAGAGAAGTCTACAAAAAGGCAATGGTTCTGAATCTTGACTGCAAAAGCATATCTGGTATAATATCGATAGTGGATAAAGAAACCCTTTTAGGCTTATCGAGATAAACATTGATTTCCATACTGTCAGGAGTTAGAAGTCCCGGATGTGATCAGTTCTCAGCTTAAGTATCTTGGTCATTTCTGATTTCCTGGAACAGAGGGAGGTTCAGGGGAAAACCCCCCCAAAAAATGAAAAACTGGTAACCATTCATCTGGATAGTATGCACATGTGCATACAAGTAACTGAAGCTGTTTCTTGGTTTTTATGCACATGTGCACACCGGACAAATTGCTTACAAATTACTTGTATGCACATGTGACCGTCCAAATGAACGGTTACCCAGGGTGTTCCTCAAATTTTCAATTTGGGGGGGGGGGGGTTTCCCTAAACCTGACCCTCCTGGAACATATCAACCTTGGATACCACCATGAATGCATGATAGATGTTCCAGCTTATGAAATAAGAACATATAATACGTGCATTCTTGAACAACCTTTTAAACACCTTTGGTTTCATGCTGTTTTTCAGGATGGGATTCTGAGTTTGCAACAAAGGTATACCAAGAACAAGTCAAAGCATTGGCTGAACATCAGGTGGGCACATTAATCTATATTTATAAATCTGTCTGTATGCGATCTCCTTGCTCAACTTGCTGATAGTCCCACCATTGTTACATTTTTGTAGTTGATGGAAGAGCGTGAAATGGAAGCTAGAGAGAAGGAACAAGCGGAATCTGACTCAATGAAGTAAGAGCATTCTAAAAAGATTTTCTTGTTGATGTTCTGATGCAAAGTTATATTTGGAAAACTACTCGATCATTTTCTTGTTGAACATATTATCATGAAATTTATTTTAGAAACTAGGAACCGATCCTATGAATTTCAACTAACCCAAACCTTTTACTACCGTTGACCTAGAAAGTTTTTTATCAGTTGTCTCATGGATCTAATAAATTTATTCGGAGCAATCGCTTTCCTTCATTTTAGGTTGTCAATGTTAAATTTATATACTTCCGACTGGAGGTACAAGACTACTATTTCTATTCGGGCATAGTAAATTAGTTATTTGACTGCTAAGAAAGAATTCAAATTGAAAACCAAATTTCTCGTTCTTGGTCTGGTTCATCTAATCATTTGAGTATCTTGGTCACTTTAATGTTGCATATAGTGTAGTACACTCGAGACTTTATGCTTGATTTTAAATGATTACAACTTGTTCTGATAAATACGGTAATTCCGTATTGAGAGCATCTCCAACAAGATTCTTCAAAATTTCTCCAAATTATAGAATGGAACTTCAAAATCTCTAAAACAAAAATGCATTCAACTCCAATAGATTCTCCGTTTTGGAGATTACAACATTGATTATATTATTAAAATCTTCCTTTCATCTAATAAAATATTATCTCTCTAAATATTTATTTTCAAAGTTTCCTATTGGTGGAAATATATTAAATAATATTTCATTGTAATAATTTTTGGGGTGATCTCCAAATTTAGAGATTTTAACACTCCTATTTTCTCCATTTTAGAGGAAGGTCATGGAGAATCTATTGGAGCAAAAAACATGCCCAAAATGTCCATTTTCTCCATTTTTGGGGAATCTCTTGGAGATGCTCTGATTTAGTAATTTGCATAAAGAGGTTCCTCTTTTTCCTTTTTTAGGAGTTCAATAAGAACATTTCTGATTTAGGTGCTTCTTACTCGTTCTAAGCAGGAATGAAACGATTGTTCGGAAACCCAAGTCAAAGAAGAAGACAAAGAAAACAAAGTTCAAATCTTTGAAAAAAGAAGCTCTATCTTCCGACACAAAGACTACAAACGTAGAGTCACCAATAGAAGTTGACGATGAACTTGATGATGAGTTGATCCTGGTGAAGAAACGCAAAAAACCAGTGGATGACGGTGAAGTGAAGATTACCAAGAAGTCCAAAAAGGTCAAGAAGAATTCTGAACCGAGCTCTTTAGATGTGGATTCAAATTCTTTAGCCGAGCAGCAAGATGAACCAAAAGAAATGAAATTATGTGGAAGCAATCTTGAGGTTGATCATAAGCCCGTCAACAGAAGCAAAACAGGAGTGAAAATCTCTATCGCTTCGATGCCTGTTAAACGGGTGATGACCATAAGGCTGGAGAAGTTAAAGAAGGGAAGCATATGGCCGAATGATTGTCTTCCGGCACCAGATTCTTGGTTATCATTGGAGGATGCGGTACTTTGTGCCGTGGTACATGAATATGGTGTAAATTGGAGTCTGGCTAGTGATGTTCTGAACGGAATGACAACAGGAGGGTTTTACAGAGGAATTCTTCGTCATCCCGTTCATTGTTGCGAGAGGTATAGGGAGCTCGTACAGAGATACGTGTTGTCTACTTCTGACAATCTTCATAACGAAAAATCAAGTAATGTTGGTGTTGGCAAAGCTCTTCTGAGAGTAACCGAGGTAAGCTAAATAAAGAGTCCGCCTTTCTATTTTAGTTTGTCCTAAAATAAATGTCTGCATTTAAAAGTGACTACTTTCCAATTCTACCCTTAACTACGAGATGGATAAATTCATTAGCCTCTCTATTATATAGGGTAAAATTGTCATTTAGTCAATTAAAAAGTGTAATAATTACACATTTCTAAGACTGTGCTTTTTCCATTCTTGAAATTTACTTTGGGACGGATGGAGTAATATCTTCAATGTCTTTGGTCGGTAATTCATTATCAATTATCGCATCCTTCCATCTTAAAAAGATTAGTTGTTTGACATCGGCATGCATCTTCATTAGTGCCTGACAGTTTATATACTCCTTCCCAAAATAAATGCAACACTCGATCGAGCACTTAGCTTTATGGGTTCTTTGGTTGAATGACCTTATATGAGTTTTCAATCAGGAGCATGACCTTCTAGTTATAAAAAATGTTCCTTCATGATGACAAACTAAAGGAAGTGTATGAACCAAAGCCAAAGCTGCCAATCTTTCTTGATGACTATAAGTGCCAATAGGTAATTTTGGATTGAAATAATTGGAAAGGGGACGGAAGCATTTATTTTACGACAACCTAAAAAGAAAAGTTTGCATTTGTTATGCTATGGACGGAGCATCATTTTTCCATTTATGTTTATTAGCATTAAATTGATATCTATCCTTTGTAGATTTTGAGAACTTGAGAACCCACTACTCGTGATGCATATCGTGATAGATATTCATGATGGATATCATGAATAATGAAAAGCATGGTATTCATGAATATGTTAGGGTTATTCATCATGACTAATTAATAAGATGGTTGATTCCCAGGTTTTCAAAATATTTAAGTTCTCATTCCAACTTTCCCGGTACATATTATACTCATTTATTTGTTTTGACTTGGTTGTTGAACTCTGTTGCTTACTGTATATTTAAGTGTTTGTGTATAATGGCGAGATGGTTTTTTTTGTTGTAGGAGCATGCCAAGATGTTGTTGGATATGGTATCGGAATTGCCTGATCAAGCGTACACTCTTCAGAAGCATTTCTTTCACCTACTTGCATCTGTGTGGAGGGCAACTACTCGTTATGGTCACCGGAAAACCCCATTGCCTCTCAGAAGCGCAAGATTTCATAATTCTCGAGACCCCATTAGGCCACAATCACAAAAAATGAAGTTCACTAACCTAAGCCAGATTAGCATATTAGTAGCTGACGCACTTGAAAACTCTCAAAATGTACCAAGGGAGGAAAGAGTTTCCAATTTCAGTGAAAGAAATGAAGCTCAAGCCATTGACCAGGTGGGAATTACTCTAGAGTTTTCTTCAGGAAGGGATGATCAAAGTGTTCCATTGCCATCGGCTGTATCTCTGTCGATAGATGTCTCAGAACCAGTATCATCCGAACCCATCACAATGGGCGGGAATCAGCATTTTAGATCATCCAAGGATACTGCTGAATGTCGTTTCAGGTATGAATCTATTCTCGCATCAACTTTCTAAACCATGATTATTGTTTAGGCTGGTTGCTATGGTTTTTGTATGTTTGGGACCTCAGCTATCCATTATCCTATGTAAGGTGTAAAGTGTCGGGTATTTTCTGTTTGTAATTTCATTTCGACTTTGACGGTAGACACTACAACAAAATCGGCTTTATACAACGTCAAATATGTCGTAAGGGACTGTTTGGTTGGTTTTCCATTTAGTCCTGCATGGATAAAATTGTGTGTGTGAGTTAATCTGTCTGTATAGATTGGGAAGGTTTTCGTTTGGGAAATTTTTTTTTCATTAGATAGGAGCGTGTTTTTAGTTGGGAGGGGAAGGTTTGGAAAAAACTTGGCTTTCTGCATAAAGACCCTCCTAGAAGCTTACTGAATAAGCCACTTTCTACATCATTAAGCCGCCACCAAACAGTCATGTATAGCCGACCGAATAATCTGTGAGTCCTATTAAGCTTATTAAGCTGTTAACAACTTGGCTTTCTGCATAAAGCCCCCCCCCTAGAAGCTTAGTGAATAAGCCACTTTCATAGGACACTTCTCAAAAGAGTGTCATATAAAAAAGCTAATAGGACATTTTATTTCAAAAGGGGCCTAAAAACTTGTTAGGATGACCAAATATGTTTTGATATCCTGTTGTAACACCTTTATATAGGACAAAAAATTGTTTGGTTCCGTCATATGAAGTAGTCTTTTAAGACATTTAGATATCTTTGACGTCCTATAAGGCCGATTTTGTTCTGGTGCCTGTTAGATCATGCAATGTCTTGTTATTCTTAATATATATCAATCCACACATTTTCACATTTTGTACGAACCCTTCTGCAGGGATGCATCAAGGGCCACCATTGAGGGTGGTTTAAGCTTGCCACCATCAGCATTCCCGATAAGCGACATCAAGTCTAGACCACTGGCTAAATCTCAACTGTCAGGAAAACACAGGCTGCCGAATCCTGAAGCACCATTGAAGTCTTCTAAATCCAAATTGAAGAAAACCATAATCGATTCCAATGAAATCCTTCCTCCCAATTTGCAACCACCATCATCATCTCCCAATGATTCGTGTTTGAGATTCGATTCAACATCTTCTGTTCCTGATCTCGTGTTCGATGATTTTCTAAGTTCATCTTCCTTAGAAATGGGCAATGAGGTTTGTCTAGATGCAGGAAGTTTCGATTTAGTACCCCATAATTACGATCCTGGTTTCACTTTGGGTCTCGAGGATTGTTCATTATCTCCAGAATTTACTGATATTGGATAGTAGGGATGGATTTCGGTTTTAATGCGAGTTTGGTTTAAAGCTAACTGGGCCAGTGCATTTTGATGGTACCGAATGTCGTATATTGAATGCACGAAAAGGAGGGATGTTTTCGATTCAAAAATCACTAACCTGCTGCTGTATCTGGAATGCTGATGAGAAGGAAGCCGAGAATGGATTCTTGGAAGATACAACATTTTGCACATAAAATTATGTAACATTGTATAGCATGTGGCCCTTCAACTTCTGTAACCCTTTTTTCCGGTTGGTGGGTGGGAAATCGTGCGTTAGTTTTCGGTTAAAAATGAATTATTTTGGCACATTCCCCTCATAGTGTAGGATTAGAAACAGGAAATTAGTCGTTGATGAATGAAAAAGCAATTTACTCTTTTTTCTTTCCTTCTCTCTCTCTCATACATAGTGCAAGTGAGCCATGGTGCAATCCATAATGGTCAAATTGGTTAGTGCAGGTGAGCCATGGTGCAACCCGTATGGTCATACTGGTTAGTGCAGGTGAGCAATGGTGCAACCCGACTGGTCATATTGGTTGGTGCATGTGAACCATGGTGCAACCCATATGGTCAAATTGGTTAGTGGAGGTGAGCCATGGTGCAACCCATAAGGTCATTGGTTTGGTGCACCAGGGGGTCGATTGGCTTGACCAATTGGTGGTCATGGTTCGAGGTGCTGACTAACTGGCAAGCTTTGGATGTTGTTTTTGCAGGTTCAGAGCTTATTTTTGGTTTCTGTTTTCATGTGAAATCTTGGAGACTTTCCCAGATTCAGGTTTGTGTTTGATCTCATCCTCTGATTGATTCTGTTTACTACAGTTTCTGATTGGCAAAATGGGTGATGAGCAATGATGATCACATATTTTAAGTCAGTTAAGTTGGTACCAAGTACAGTTTTCCTAGAAGGGTGTCCCGGGCTATGCCAAACACAAGACTAATCCCAACAAATTGCACATGTAAGACATCAGCCTTGATAAACTCGGTGGCTACAATTGTTGTGGATACCATGCATATTCAGCAGCTGGTATGCTAATATTTCTAAAGGAAAATGGATCAAATGGGCTCATCCTCTTGGTATTTTGAAGTCAAACACAATGAAGACTAGTGCTGAACGTTGCGTAACGTCATCTTCAACCTACCTCCAGTGTACCAATGCGACCGCTAAAGAATTGCTTATACACTAAACAGCTGCTTATATATGCTTACTAAAAGACTGACTTTTATTCATATTCAATTCATTAGGCCAACATGAAACTAAGAAAGATAGATGTGTCTAAGACGGATTCTCGTGCTTGCTCTCGCATGTCAGATACTAATTACGTTGGTACCCATTTAATACTCGGTACCAACCAAGCTTGTATACATGGTATGGTAGTATCAACTGACTGTAATTGATACTAGTTGAATTGGTACCCATTTAATCGATACAGTTTGTTCACATGTTGGTTGGTTTTATTTGGTAAAAAATTACAACCCCCAAAAGCTGATACTGATGTTGTCACCTTTTGCTTCAAAGTGCGTGCTTGGATTATCCCAAAGAGAACGAATAAACAAAATTTCATCGGTCAATATCTATCGTAATCGACGTTTGAATTATATGTTCAATGGAACCTAAGCACATTTAATGTTTGGAGAAAAAGGTTTTTTCATGTGTAGTCAAATGAACTCATTCTAATGTTGCTCCAAAGTGGCAATTAACATCATATTGTTATATTATTCCCTCTTCCATATAGATATAAAATATAAGATACCTGGAGTGTCTGATTTTTATATCAACGGTTTGATATAAAATATCTGAGTTGGGTTCAAAAGATAATGGTGATAAAAAAAAATACAGGAGTGATCAGATCACGTGTGATTTTAAAACTCAAATAACGTGTAAAATTATATGTACCTTGTGTGACGTAGGTCGAGGGTAAGTTGTCCGCACACCTATTTTCTGTAATTGCATGTAATTTGACTGTTCTCATGTTTTCTTATTTTGACACTCTTTTTGTTTGGTAATCTTTCAGAAAAATGCATATACATATACATATACATATACATATACATATACATATACATACATACACATACAGACTTGGGATCACGTGAGACCCGTGAAACCACTTTTTTACACTTGAAACTTCACAGCAAAACGTTGTGAAGGTAACCTTTACGATATTTTTGCTGTGAAGGTTCGTTTTTTTTTATTCATCAAAAGTACTTGTCATGATATGATATCTGAATAATTATTGATTAATTCACATAATTTATTAAATATAAAAAGTATCATTAATATAATTAAGGCCTTTATAGAAAGAACTATGATATCTGATTTAACTTTGTTTTGGACTAAGAACTCGGTAAGGATTAGGTGAGACTGTCAGACCCACGTCGCTTATAGTTTCAAAACCTAGGATCATATCAGTCTTTGTTCCATATTGTACTCTTTCTAGCTGATTGAATCGTGCCCAAAAAAACCGAGATAATGTTCATCTCTAGTAGTCTAATGAAATATTTTTTTTGAAGTATATAATATTTATATACGGCAAATAGAACAAATAAACTCACACACTCTCCTCACCTTTGGTGATGTTTGAACCTTTGACTTCCTAGGAGGCCAATGACTCACATACCGCTAGGCCAAAGATCTTTTGATTGAAATAATTCTTTTAATGTATAAATTGGAGTCAAATTTATTGGGATATCAATTTGTAGACCAAATTTGGTGCAACTTATTGCATAAACATTGAAGATGCTCTTGGTTTACAACCTCAAAATAACATGAATTATTACATTACCTTGTATATATAATTTCAGCATCAATGCTTTTTGTATAAATCACATCTTGAATTTGAAAGACACACAAACTCATTGCTAATGTTTATACTTCTAACACTGAATTGGTAATTGAGCGATTTGGGGATCGATTGCTGTGAGAGATCGAGAAATCTGAAAATCGAGAGCTATGAGAGATCGAGAGATGAAAAATAAGAGGTATTAAGTGATCAACTTACCACTTAAAATTTCAGATGAAACATTGATGTTTTAGCTTTTATTTGAAAAAAAAAAAACAAACAAACACTCTTAATACCAAAAACGTCTGACCGAATCAGACTTCAGAGATATTAAGAGCTGAAAACAGTGCAATCTGGGTAAAAAAAACACATGCTGATTCAGTAAGTGGGATAAGAATGCTAGTTGGATAGGTACATGGTCAACGCCTTTAATCAGATCAGTCTCTAGGTAAACATGTTGATACTGGCCGAGTCAGTCGTGTTAACCAAATCGATAATAAAAAGATCATGAAGAACGCTGTGTTTAAGAAGTTATAATCAGAAATGACGATTTTATTTCTCGTGATTTAAAAAAGATAGAATAGAATCATGACAAAAATTCATGTGAACTTATTTATTGATTATTCTTACTTTTGTCTAACATTTTGGAATCATATTCCCACAAACTAAGGTTCTATTTGTAGATGCATATTATTAGATGATCTCAAAATTTAGAAAAAGAAAAGGATTGAAAGAGAAATATAAGGGCAAAAATGGAAAGAAAAAAAAAACTAATATCGAAACCGTAAAAATCAACCAAAATTGAACGGAGGGAAATAATTCATTCATCGTGCATACAACATCAGACTGGACAAACGAGAATAAGATGTCAAGTAAAATAATTGTGTAAGGTTTTGGAGTTTTAATTTGATATATGTAGTTTAATAATTTATCAATCTTGTCTTATCTCTCTGATACTTGTTCTACTTATTTTGGTGGGACAGAAAGATGGTTTTTTGTCTCATTCAGTTCCGTTCTATTCTAATCTAATATTACGGTGAACATGAGACAAAAGTTTTTGTTCTGTCATGTTCCACATACCAAAATACCAAACTAACTGTTACGAAAGAATTTTGATTTGTAAAACCACATATACATTCGAAGTTTTTTGATGACTAGCTATCACGTCAGCAGATACAAACACGTTCGTTCCTTATGGGTTTTAGGTTAAATGTATCATTATATATATGCTAAATACACGGGAAATTGACCAAAATAGCTAACCTCCTCCAATCAAATGCACTTTTTAACCATTTTTTCAATCAAATTCTCATTTTAGCCAGAGTTTATGCAAATCCTTGCACATTTATGTAAAACCCATCTTCAGATAATAATAATAAAAAAAACTTCACGCAAATTTGCGTTAAGATTTTTTTTTGACTTGAAAACAAGCTTTACATAAATGCCTGTCTAAAAATGAGAATTCGATGCCAAAAGTGGCTTAAGTAAATTTGGTTGAGTAGGTTGGTTATTTTGATCAATTTTCATAAATGCACTGCTGCCTACTAATTTTCTCCTCCCATGTGTCAAAACCAAGACTTGCTTTTAGATTTTCAATATATGATTTGACTTTTAAACTTAAAATGGTCAAGAACCCATCTCACCACTACAAAATTACACACACATAAATATAAAGTATTGATCATAATTAATGAACCTTATTCATTTTCTATAAATATTCAAATCATAATAAATGAACTTTCATCATTTCCATAAATATCACAATTAATTGGGTTGCACTGGTTGTACAAATGAATATGGTTGTATTTGAAATATACCCTATATATATATATATATATATATATATATATATATGTGTGTGTGTGTGTGTGTGTGTGTGTGTGTGTAAGTAAAGTCGAGTTCAAACGAGCATGATACCCATTTAAGAAAAATAAAAGAATGATGGAATCACATGTGATTTTATACTAACATCACGTACAAATGCACATGTGATTTACGCCACTTTGCCCCACGACCTAAAGACGCGGCCAAAGTTGTCCACACACCTTTTTTTTTACTGTTAATGTAAAACCACATGTGATTTTGCACATGATTTAATTGTTTTCGTATTTTTTTAAATAGTTAGTATTCTCATTTGCACCTCCTCTGTAAGCATATATATACATACTATACGAGTGAGTATTCTGAATGAAGAAAAACAGAATAAGCCACGACCAACACATTACATGGTCTATAAATTCACATTTTTTGGGCCCTTGTTCCCACCAAGTTCTAAAAGAAAAAGAAAAACACACACACACACACAAAATCTAGAACATGGTGTTGAACGTAACCTCCGTTAAAGCATCGTCGGATGGCGTATGGCAAGGCGATAACCCTCTTCGCTACGCGTTTCCATTGCTCATAATCCAAACTACGCTCGTTATTTTTATCAGCAGAACGCTCACTTTCTTCCTTAAACCTCTTCGACAGCCTAGAGTCATTGCCGAGATACTCGTAAGTCCAATAACTCAACTACATTCATTTCTACCTATGCAATATTTTTCATTGCGTAGACCATCTTTTCGATCAATATTCTAAGAAAGATGGGCCGCTTACTTAAGAAATTGGGTTATAATGGTCATTATATTGTTGGTAAGAACTTACCAAAAATATTTGGTAAACACTCTTAGTCGGGACAACACTTACTCGGGTCAGCACTCTTACCCGGATAGCACTTACCCGATAAGAGTTGGTAAACAGCGCCTAAGTCTCTCCAGTTTCACTACACCAGTATCTCAGTCAGCAACATTTGTTGATCCATATGTGTTGTTAAACAACATTATCTCTTACCCAATAAGAGGCTATAAACACTTCGAAAACAACCTCTCTTAACGTCTGTTTATTAGCAACTTAATGGGGATCACTTCCTATTTAGTCAGCTTAATGATATAGAAAATAGCTTATTCAGTAAGCTTCTAGAGGGGAACTTTTATGCAGAAAACCATGTTTTTCCGAAACTGTCCATCCCAATTTTAAAATATGTTCATCCTATCTATGAAAAAACTCTCTCAAACAAAAACTTTTCCAATCTATACAAATAAATTAATCCACATATACAACTTTATCTACACAGGACTTGATGAAAAACCAACCAACAGTACTTGTCATCTTGCTACTGAAAGAGTAAACAGTTTAACATTTTTGTTCTTAACCTATGCATTGTTTTGATGGTAACCTGGATTTTTTCAGGGCGGAATTCTGCTAGGGCCATCGGCGATAGGCCGGCACAAGGAATTTATGTCGTGGGTTTTCCCATCGTGGAGCACGTTGATTCTCGAGTCGGTGGCGGATATAGGTCTCTTGTTCTTCCTCTTTCTTGTAGGACTTGAACTAGATCTCGCATCCATTCGTCGGAGCGGGAAGAGAGCATTGGGGATTGCGGCAGCCGGAATCCTGTTACCGTTCTTGTTTGGGATCGGAATCACGTTTCTACTCCAGGAAGTTGTTCCCGGAGCAGATAAAGTTGGTTATGTTCAATTCTTGTTGTTCATGGGAGTTTCCCTCTCCATCACTGCCTTCCCGGTGCTTGCTCGAATACTAGCGGAGCTCAAATTGCTAACGACCCAAGTAGGGGAGATAGCCATGGCGGCAGCAGCTTTTAACGATATCGCCGCCTGGGTTTTGCTTGCCCTGGCGGTGGCGCTCGCTGGCGGCAGCCACAGGAGTCCGTTGGTGTCACTATGGGTCTTAATATCCGCTGCAGGATTCGTCGTGTTTATGGTAGTTGTAGTCCGTCCTGCGATGGAATGGGTAGCTGATCGGTGTTCAAAACCAGGCCGCTACGATCACAATGAAGAAGGATATATATGCTTGACATTAGCAGGGGTGATGTTATCAGGATTCATGACGGATCTTATCGGGATTCACGCGATATTTGGTGCGTTCATTTTTGGAGTAATGATCCCGAAGACGGGAGAATTTGCAGGGAAGTTGATAAGAAGGATAGAAGATTTCGTCTGCGGACTTTTGCTGCCGTTGTACTTCGCTTCAAGCGGCCTGAAAACGGACGTGAATAAGATACAAGGGGCGAAGGCGTGGGGGTTGCTGGGGGTGGTGATTTCAACCGCTTGCACCGGAAAGATTCTGGGGACGTTTCTGATGGGAATGTTGTGCACGATCCCGGCAAGAGAGTCGTTAGCTTTGGGGTTACTAATGAATACGAAAGGTTTGGTCGAGCTAATTGTTCTCAACATTGGCAAGGAGAAAAAGGTTTGGTTTTGCCGATGATTCCTAAGGCTATGTTCGGCAAACTACCTAGCTAGTTGTTGGCTCATAAGCTAGCTAATAGTCTAGTCATGTTTGGTAAAAACTAGCTGATAAGTTAAGGGTTGTTTGTTAGCTATATATGATTGTTTGATAGTAGCTTAATGATATATGAAGTGGCTTATTCAGTAAGCTTTTGGGGGGAGCTTTACGCAGAAAACCAAGTTTTTTCCAAACCTACCCGTCCCAATTAAAAACCACACTCCATCTATGGAAAAACCCGCACAAACAAAAACTTTTCAATCTATACAGACAGTTTTATCCATACAAGACTTAATGGAAAAGCAACCAAACAACCCCTAAATTATGGTTGCTAAATATGGCCTAAACTTTTGTTGCAAGTGAAACTCATAATATGTTTTCATGCAGGTACTCAATGATGAAATGTTTGCGATACTAGTGATGATGGCACTTGTAACTACGTTCATGACGACACCGATGGTGATGGCGGTATACAAACCGGCTAGAAAAATGTCTTCCATTGTCCACCATCGTTCACTTAAGGAATCGTCATCCCACTATCTACAAACTCAACAAGCTGAGCTCCGAGTGCTCGCCTGTGTCCACGGATCACGAAAGTCATTGTCAATGATCAACCTCATTGACTCTATCCAGTCTCCCAACACCTACTCAAACATGAAGCTCTATATTATGCACCTAGTCGAACTAACCGAGAGGTCCTCATCGATATTGATGGTACACGAGGTCCGTAAAAACGGGGCTCCATGCATCGAAAGATTCCAACTGACCAAGTCAGACTATGAAGTCGAGTCAGCTGGCAAAGTCAAGGTTCGCTCCTCGACCATCATATCAGCACTGCCAACAATGCATGAGGATATATGCCACGTGGCGGACAAGAAGAGGGCTACTATCATCATACTGCCCTTCCACGAACCATGGAGAAGAGAAGACATTGGACAGGGTTGGAAAGTGGTAAACCAAAGGGTCCTTGACCATGCACCATGCACGGTGGCATTGCTGGTAGATCGCGGCGGCTTTGGTGGTGAGAGGATCAAAGGGAGAAGGGTTTGTGTGGTGTTCATAGGTGGTCCTGACAACCGTGAAGCCCTTGAGTTGGGAGGCAGGATGGCGGCACAGCCTGCTACTAAGGTGACCGTAATTAGGCTTATAGTCAAAATTGGAGACAACGAAAACTGCATTTCCAGAAATCCAGAGGTGGTAGATATGGAGAAGGTAACACTAACCCTGATTAACAAATACATATTCAGATAGCGTATATGCATCATATATAGAGAGAGGAAGGTTCAAAAGAGAACGTTAACTATTTAAGAAAACAAGAAAAAGGTCGTTAATGTACAAAATCATATGTGATTTTACATTAACGTCAAAAAATGAAATTGGGCGACTTTCAGAAAAAGATCGTTGATATACAAAATCACATGTGATTTTACATTAACGTCAAAAAATGGAATTGGGCGACTTTTGCGGGTAAAGTCGCGCCAATTAATGTATGATTTTGTACATGAATCATATATGATTTTGTACATTAACGACCTTTTTCTTGTTTCCTTAAATACTTAGCGTTTTCGTTTGAACCTACCAATATATATATACACACATACATACATAGAGGGAGGTTCAGGGGAAACCCCCCCAAAAAATGAAAAACTGAGGAACACTCAGGTAACCATATTGGTACGATATGCACATGTGCATACACGTAATTGAAGATATTTCTTAGTTTCTATGCACGTGTGCATGTTATGCACATGTTAACAAATACATATTTTGATAGTGTATATGTATCATATATATATAGAGAGAGGGGGGGGAGGCTCAGAGGAAAATCCCAGAAACAAGTGAAAAATTGAGGAGCACTCTAGTAAATGATTCATCAGTATAATATGCACGTGTGCACAAAAGTAATTGAAGGTGTTTTTTGGTTTCTATGCACGTGTGCATACCGGACAAATTCCTTACAAATTACTTGTATGCACATGTGCATACCGTCCAGATGAACGGTTAACAATGTGCTCCTCAGTTTTTCATTTTTTGTGATTTTCCCCTGACCCTATATGCATATATTGGTTCTCACAGTTCTCAAAATATTTATGGTTCTCATTTGAACTTTCCCTATACCTAATAACTATCTAACAGGAACTGGATGAGATATCGTTAGAAGAATTCAGAAGGCGATGGGAAGGGGAAATCGAGTATGTGGAGAAGGAAACTCACAGCATCAGGGAGGAACTACTCACGATAGGGAAGAACAAAGATTTTGAGCTTGTGATTGTAGGCAGAGGTAGGTTTCCAGAGGCGTTGGTTGCAAGAATCGTTGAACGTGAAGCTCAAGATATGGCAGAACTGGGACTTATTGGAGACTTATTAGCATCATCTGATCAGGGAATTGCATCTTCTGTGCTAGTGGTCCAGAAACACGATCTAGCTAAAGAAGACGAAGGACGAACCATGTCTGACCTACATTCGGTCTAATAATCCGAAGGCATAGCTGTAATTTATCAATCCATATCATAATGTCTAAAATAGAATGACAAAATGATGCTGCCTGAAATACTATACATCATAACACCAAAAGCAAAACTTGCTATTCATTTTCAAACATATTGAACTACTTGAATAGAGCCATAACCTAAATTGGTCGAAGGTGCATTCCACATTCATTGATCATTGTCTAAAATTCCCCCCGTCCCAAAATAAATGGCAACTTTCAAAAGTAAGTGCATACTTTCCAATTCTACTTTTAATTATGGGATGTATAAATTCATTACTAAAATTGTCATTTAGTCAATTTAAAAGTGCAATAATTACAGGCTTCTAAAACTGTGCCTTTTCCATCGTGGACATTTTATTTTGGGACGGAGGGAGTAAGTACTCTTCATCTAATCTTATTCTAAAATGAATGCAACATGATTCAGTGTGGTCAATAATCAAGCATATTCAAAGTAACATTTATAGAATATTAATAATTTTGGTGAAAATTTGGAGCTCTAATGGAAATTTAACAAATGGTTTATATCACTTGTGTCTATATCAAAAGTACATAACCAGATTCACAACTGAAAATTGAGAAAACTAATCATTACAAATCCAAAGAGTCTAAATTTCAACCCAAAAACAACTTTTTAGTTGGGCAATTAGCCCTCACCATTGACAATTGTACACAATATAAACATTTTCTGAACCACAAGCCCTCATCTACCAGCACAAGGAGCGAACATGAGAAGGAAAATTTTTAAAGAACGAATTTAAGGGTGAAAAATGCACTAACCTCAGAGAAAGCCTGCCCCAGACCAGTTTCCATCTGATTTGCCGGTTTGACTTGCGGTTTTGCCATCAGAAGATGCGCTCTTATAGAAACCGTCATACCCGTCATCTTTAGCATCATCCCAACCTGCCCAGTCATCCCCATTGGCAGGTGCAGTCCCTGTGGTAGATGCATTCTTCCTATTGCCATCATTATCCCAATCATCCCAAGAGCCAGACTCCACAGAGTTAAAATTTCTGTCTGATGAGCTGACAGAACCACCATTCCCACCAGACGAAGGGACACGATTGGAAGTTCCATTTGAATTCCATCCTTTGCGTTCCTGTTTAAACTCCTGATAAACCCCATTTTCCTGTGTTTCATTTCTTAGCCAGCCATCACTCTTCCAGGTGGGATTTTCTTTGGCTAACTCTTCAACTTTCTGTGAAGCAAATGCCATGACACCTTTCATGATTCCCCATGTCTTTTGTCCAATTTCTGTGGTCTTTGCTGTGACAACATTGACGGTTTCGTTCACCTTGTGATCATAGCCCCCGTCTCTAACCTGTACGTAAAGGTGTGTATACATGAACCCCATTCAACATTTTTCTAATGTTAATTCCATTTCCATTAGGATCATAGCAAAGTTAGAAAACAAGAAATGCTTTCTCTCCGTTTCGCCAAGTCCTATCCTGATGCTGTCTTTCTCAAATAAGCATGCCACATGATTATGCAGGGGCCATGTAACACCATTAAACCAACAGCAATATTAAATCTACTAAACTACAAAAAATGCTATATTAAATTCACGTTATATGTGAGTTGAAGGCTTCAAGCAAGTGCATGGAATTGTACAAGAAGAAACCCAATTGCAAAAACCCATGGACATATAATCGCAGAACTAAAGATTGACAATATACCATTTTGTTCCTTTATCTAACACGAAAAGAATACCAAGTCCCTCCCAAGCTAGCTAAATATGTCTTCCTCTTTGCAACTTATAAAAGAAAAGGACCACGTTGCATGGGTAAAAGAAGTATCAATGGCATATTTGATACTTTAACTTGGAAAGAAATTTTCTGAACTAGCCAACTGAGAAGGAGGAAGCACTGATAATTTATCATGCCGAAGAAAGAACTCTGGTTTACTACAAGATTGTACGCACATGCAATTAGATCCAAACGTGTACAATATGGCTGGAAATCAGAGGATTGAAGGGCCTGTTCCTATATGCTGCTTAAATATGAGCTGTCATGATCATCATTACTAAGACCAACCAAGAGTACTAATTAGAAATGAAACCAGATCAAGATAATATATGGCAACAAAATGGTCGTGTTCAGATGAAATCGAAGCTACATGTGTTATATCAACAGTTCCATAAAAGTTAAATACAAAGATGGAAATGAAAAGACCTTTGTTGTGAGTTCCTTGGTGCCAGCCTGAACCACACTGGCAGCCGACTGTGCAGCAGATGCAGCAACAACAGATAACTTACCAAGTCCCTGTACGAACATATTATGGATCAGTAGCCAATCAAACATAGAACAAAAACCATAAGGTTTAATTATGCTAACAGTGTTTGTTCAACCAACTAGTCCATCTTCAAGTCCCTTTACAAAGAGTGTGTGGGCAGAAGTCACTTATTTCAATAGACAAACCATGATTGCCTTATCATCCAATGTCACAAACTCTTTCAAACTAGTTTGCAAGGAAGTTTTAGGGTCTACTTGTTTACAACTTAATGAGCTTAATGGGACTCAAGGCTTATTCAGTCAGCTATAGGTAACTGTTTGATAGTGGCTTAATGATATATAAAGTGGCTTATTCAGTAAGCTTCCAGTGGAATCTTATGCAGAAAACCATTTTTTTTCCAAACCTGCCCTTCCCAGAAAAAACACACTACTTCCACCTATTAAAAACCATCCCAAACAAAAACCTTCTCAGTCTATATTAACAGATTAATCCACACAGACAACTTTACATGTGCAGAACTTAATGAAAAACCAACCAAACAACTCCTTAGTCTTTAATCAAACTGTCAAACAGATTATCAACCTGTGTGAAAGATGAGATACACTATAATACTAGTTTATATCTTCACTGAACACATCCGGTTCAATCAATATACCAGTCATTTGTTCAGTTAAACTTTATGTGCCCATACTGTGTGGTGCGAACTTCCACCTTAATCTTGTTTATGGTAGCAAACTTCCAGCAAGTACACAACAGTGACAGATTCATGATTCATCTATACCAGTTGAACATAAAATTGCAGTTTGATACACAAGAATCCAACACAATGGAAGCATTCCCAATTCAGTACTTGGAAACAATACAGTGTACCTGAGTAACGGAAGTAAGAACATCCCCTTGTGGATTGGTCCGTGGCATGGGATTAGAAGACGACCCAAATCCTACATACTTCCCTCCTTGCGACGGCGGCAATCCCTCCGGCCGCGACTCGTTCTCCGCTATCTTCCTCGCGAAAAACCCCTCCTTTCCCGCCGCAGATGCCTCCAATTGCGACCGTGTATACATATCCTCCGTTGATCTTGACCTAGCCGGCATCCCGCCGCCGCCGCCACCGCTTCGAAAATCTCCAACAGTCTGATTCCTCCTCATACTATCCGGAGATCCAAGTCCTCTTTCATCAAAACCATTATCCCCCCAATCGCTATCCCAACCTCCACTACTTCCGCCCCTTCCACCACTCCCTACCGACAACGGAGGCTTCTTACCACCAGCACCACCTTTAATCGGACTCTCCTTCACAACCGGTGGATCTTGCCAGGGTTTTCCATCCGCCAGGGCTTGGATCCTGTTCCTATAAACCGAAGCAGCGTTGGTATTATACTTTGATACAATATCCGTCTCTTTCGGAATCCCGTACTTAGATAAGAAGTTGTTGAGGTTCTCGTTGCCGCCGGACTCCATTTTCCGGAGCTGGATCTCAGACCACGAATCCATGGTGACAGATCGGACAAATGAGATGTGGACACCAAGGCCCCGATGCTTGCCGGAACACTCTAAGCACATGAAGATACCATAGGATACGGAGGCCCACTGAGGGTTCTTCTGTGAGCAATCGACGCAGGTCTTGTTGCCTGGCTGCGATTGTAGGTCCCGGAGACGCCGTGATGCCGCCATATCAAGGAATTTGGCGTAGGAATTGGGATCTGGTTGAGATCTGGTGCAGATTTTGGTGTCCGATTTATGGGTATGAACTGTTTTCCTTTCCTTAAATGGTTTTCCAGTTGGAAGTCACAATCCATAATCCTCCCCAAATCCTTAAAAAATTAATTGTTTATTGCAATTCATGATATAATACAAAGTTTTAGTGCGTATATATAAACTAGAGTAGTGCAACTTGGGGACGGTGATTTATCCCGATCCGGTAAGGAATTCTGGCCCATTCGATTCAACAGGGACGAGTATTTCTTATTAAAACAGGTTTCGGAACCGAGGATCCAATAGACTTAAACCAGGGTTGGGGTCGGGTAGCGTATCCTCCGACCCGTCATGTACCCTCTATATAATTTTATATAATATACGTGTATATATATATATATATATATCCTAAAATTAGGTCTTGACCGGGAATGAAGATCGGGGTTTGACCATAAAATAAACCGGGGACGGGATATTAATCCTCATGCCCGCCGGGGACGGGATATTAATCCTCATACCCGCCGGGGACCAGGGAAGGGGCCGGGGGCCGTTCATAGAAACCGGGGCCGGGGAGACTCAAACTTGCCACATCCCCGTCCTATTGCCATGCCTAGTGCAACGGTGACGATAATTTTTTTAAGTGGTTTGATGTTTTATATATTACATGTCTTTTTTGAAAAGCATTTAGTGTGTTAGGTTATTAAATTAATAACAACTGGTATTCTACTTTATATGAAACCATCATATCGTCTTTTATTGTTCTTTTAGTCAATACACATTTATAGATTTTAAAAAACGTTTTCGTTCTTTTTATATACTCAAAGCTGTATCTAATTTATCATCTTACCACTGATGTAAATAATAAAACTAGTCATGTAAGAAAAATGGAATTGAAGTTTGATTTGTTAAAATATTTGATGTTGTATAAATAACAATAATAAAAAGAAATAAAGAAAATGAAATGTTTGATTCACTTAAAATATTCGAGATTCTTTCATATAAATTTTATTTATATAAAATGAAAATGAAATGTTCAATTATTACATGAAATGTTTTTCATATAGATGAAAAACAACTATTTAACCCAAAATTAGATCGAAGTTATAGATGGATATTCAATTAATATTTTATCCTTTATATAGTCATTTGTATTTTCAACTTTTCACATTTGTTATTGGACAGTCAAGAATTCACTACAATTTACCATTTGATTGTTATTACTTATAAGTTTATAATTTATTATTGGACAGATTGCATGAAAAAAGTAACGTATTTTAACTTAATTCATGTTTTAGGTAACGTACTTCCAAACTTCAATTTTGGTAAGGTGTAAAGTTTTAAACATTTAAATACCCGGGTAACCGGTTGAAACATTAACCGGTTAGATTAAAATATACATGTCAACAAATAATAATAAGTTGGATACCACATTTTTAATAGCTAGACTTTAGCCCATGAAGTCTTTAAATGCTAATATATATATATATATATATATATATATATATATATATATATATATATATATATATATATATATATATATATATATATATATATATATATATATATATATATATATATAGGGTCAGGTCTAGAGGAAAACTGTAAAAAAAAATAAAACTGAAAAACACCCTAATAACAAATTACAATTCATTTGTACAGTATCCATGTTTACGTAACATACACACGTGCATAGAAACCATATAACATATTCAATTAATTGTAGTCATATTTGCATATCGTACAGATGAATGGTTATTAGAGTGTTCTCGTATCGCTACACCCTCAAGTACGGCCCAACAAGTCACAAACCGGCTACGGACCCAACCGATTAACCAATTTGCACCAGGGCCGGACTTTTTCCGGCCTGGATCCGGGCTTTCCACGCTGAAAGTGAGACGAAAAGTTCATATAAACAAAACCCGAAAAGATGATGAAATGGAATAAATCAACACGAGAAACGTTACGTCGAGTGTGCAAACAGAAACTTAAAGCAAATCGATGGCATTTCATAAAATCATATATAAAATGCAGTTCTTTCTTTTTTTCTCATGTAGGCATTTCACCTCAACGTTCACCACGTCTGGATGTTGACCAATTAGATCTTGATGGTGCTCCGCTGCCAAACGCCGATTGTCGCCACCTGTCACTAGGCCGGTCATCCTGGCGGCCCCACCTATCGGGCTCGGAAGGTGGTGGGGCCTGTGCACCACCACCAGCCATCCTCTCCCGAAGGTGTCTGGGCACGTATTTGCCAGGCGTCGTTGTAGCATTAGCTGCAACGGGCATTGGTTTAGTTGGGCGAGCAGCCTCGGAAGGCCTTACGGGCATAGAAGGTGTTCCCCTCAAGACTTCTTCTCTTCGTTGACGTTCTTTTTCTTCAAGTTCTCTTTCGCGTTGCCTTTGCTTCTGGGCGATCTCGTCTAGCTTCGCCCTACGCTCGGCTTCTTCCTTCTTCCGCCTCTCGGCCTCTGATACACCAACAGAAAAGACCTCATTTTCATTTTATAAGATGTGTGGAACTCCATTTAATTACGTTGTATTCTCGAATTTGAGGAGAAATGAATGGAAAAGAAAGAGATGGAATTTTTTTTTTTTAATTTTTGTTCTCGAAAGAGAAGGAAAAGGAAGCAAAAGAAAGGAAAGATGCCATTTTTACAAATATACCCTTTAAAAATATATCTTTTACTATGAAAAGTCGGGTAGTTTTGTAATTCTAATAATCTTTTTGAAGGGTTTTAATTTCTTTCACGTTTGGAAAGAAAGTTCTGGGAGAAACTTATCATTTATTTCCCTTCGGTTTCCTTTCCTTTCTCTCCTAAAAAAGTTTCGAGAACACGAGCTTTTTTTACTTTCCTCCGTTTTCCCTCCCTTAGTAGAATAGGTTTCGAGAACACAGAGTTAGTCTCCGAGAGAAGGGAAGTTCCAACGTATATGCAAAAGAAATAGTCCAAGTCCATTAGAAAGAAACAAATGATCCACATATCGGTTGCAAAAATTGAATTAAAAAACCAAGCATTAGTACGAATTAATTCCCGACCATAACATCTTTGTGAGAATAGCATATACACACATCATCCAATATGCAAATCAGAATCGAATAATGTGCAACCACATTAAATTACTCTCCAAAATAACCCATTTAAGGAGGAGAAATGACACATGTCTAACCGATATGGGACTCTAACATCCCCCTCCAACAGAGGCCAGACAGGCACTTATTGTCTAGGAGTTTCGAGAGGGGGCTAGACAGATGCAGATTGTCCTAGGGTGTCGAGTCCTTGTTCTGGCAGACTTTGGCTCTAATACCATATGATAATATGTGTAATCCTATTAGATTACTCACCAAAAAAGGCTTGGGTAGAGAAGGAAGGTTCCTACATATTTGGGCAAAAAATTGATTACCTGCAACCCCAACCGGTCCCACATGAAACATGCCTCAAAGGACACCATTGTGAGGGGACATTTCTCACTCGGTGGCTGAGGCTAGCCCGGGGGGATCGAACCCGAGACCTGTCTTGTATTTGGACAAAGTTACTCAGCCCCTTTGCCAACTGAGCTACACGCCAGAGGGACTTTAACAAAATGCAAAAACAACATTCCAATTGGCAGAAAACAGCGATCTTGACACTCAAATGAAGTGTAGTGAAGTGTTGTTTCGCAATTTTCTGCTAAACTCGATTGTTGTTCACTCGAACAAAACTTGCATAACTGGGAGTAGTTGGTTGCTAAGATGATTTTTTCCCACTGACCCACAAATCAAAAAAAAAGTTGGGGCTTGCAGATGATTAGATGCCGGCTAAGTTTCAACCATAAATGTTGCAACTTAATTTTTCAGACAGCATCTTGTTCCTTCGTTTGGTACTTAGGACATGCTAGTATAAAAACTTATTGTCTGACGTGTGACATGACATTAGACTGGGACAGGACAGCTACTTAGTGGGACAAAATGCATTTTTTCTATCCCAAAAAATAGGTGGAACATAAACAAGGGAAATGAGACAAGATTGGAAAATACTGAACCATCCATGTCAAATTAATACCCTAAAAACTTTTACAATTCTTTCCCTTCCTACTTCACTTTTGCCTGTCCAGTCATGTCCAATTTGTGCACCAAACACACCCTAGAAGAGTTGGGCAAGCATACACACACAAATATATATATATATATATATATATATATATATATATATATATATATATATATATAAGAGGGAGGTTCAGGGAAAACCCCCACAAAATGAAAAACTGAGGAATACCCTGGTAACCGTTCATTTGGTTTTGAAATTGTTTCTTGGTTTTTTATGCACATGTGCATACTGCACAAATTGTTGACAAATTATTGCATTTGTCCAGATGAATAGTTACCGGAGCGTTCCTCAGTTTTTCATTTTTTTTTGCGGTTTTCCCCTTAACCGTATCCTATAGATATATTGATTAAGACACTAAACAGTTGCTACAAGCCCTCAACCAAATAACAACACAGAAGTAGGATGGAACTAAGATATTGTGAGGTGATGTCACTGATGAATGTGAAAAAGCGAACATTTGAATAGAACCATGCCACGAAGTTAAAGATAGATATTATTGGAGTCCCACGTTAGCTAGAGTTGGACCATTTCTCCAGTATATATGTTGAAACCTCCCCTTTCTCCTCAAGTGATCTTTTAGAGAGTGATCTAGGGGTTCCATATTCTCACATGGTATGAAAGCCAAGGTCTACCATTTTAGAAACCCAGCTAGCCCCCTCTCGACACTCCGGGACAATTTGTGTCCATCTAGCCTCCATTGGAGGGGGTGTGTAGGCATGGACGGACCTACCGTGGTGTCAGTAGTGGCATGTGCCACCGTATTATTTCTTCGTCTAAGGGTAGAAAAATTTAGATTTGTGAAAGGTGCAACCGTATTAATTTGTTGTGTGCCACCGTATGTATTTTGAAACTACAATGAGAACAAGTTTTCTTTGGAAGAGTTGGTTTGCAAGGTTTTTGTTCCACCCCATACCCGAGTTCAAATTTTGTTAGTGTCATTTTCTTAGTCAAATGGTGCCACTGTTTGAAATTTTTTCCCTATATTTGTTTCTTATAGCCAAATGGTGCCACCATTTGAAAAAATTTATGGGTCCGACCCTGCGTGTAGGATTCTCACATTAGCTAGACTTGGACCATTTCTCATATATATGTTGGAACCTCCCCTTTCTCATCAAGGGCTCTTATGAAGAGTGATCTCGGGTTCCACATATTTTCACAAATATATTTAAGACATACCTTCGCGTTGATGGGCTTCCTCCTCGACATGTAACTTTTTCTGCCTTTCTTCCTCAAGTTTCAAATAGCATATCATTTTCCTCCTACTTTCCCGCTCTAGTTTTCTAGAATGATATATTTGGTTGATTCGCTCCTCTCTTTCCTTCTTCAATTTGTTGAACTCGGCTTCTCTCTTACTAAAAACTCTTTGTTGGAATATTTCCTGCAATTTTTTTGATAGAAACTTATGATTCTTTAGATTTTATCAAAATCTAAACCAAAAACAAGAAATCTAGGTAATGAAGCATATCGGATTTAAGTTAATGACCCATGAAGTCAAATTTTAGAAAACCAAGATGCTTGGTAACCTTGTCTTTCATCATTCTGCTCAGCCTCCTTTTCTTCTCGAGATCTCCAGCATGACGTAACCGGCTTTGCTCAATCTCTAGCTGCAGTGTTAAATCAAACATCTAGTTCAGGATTATGTCTAAAAAATAAGACGAGTAACACAAAACGAAAAAAAAATCCATGGAAATTAACTTGAAAAGACGAAGGGATCATTGGCTTAGTGGTACGGGGGTTAACAGTAGAGCCCAGCCTCGTAGGAGGAAGCTTTATGCAGAAAGCCAACTTTTTCTCAAACCCGTGCCTCCCAGTTAAAAACACGTTCTTTCTATCTATGAAAAAACTCTCCTAAAAAAAACTTCCCCAATCTATATAGATAGATCAATTCACACAGACAACTTTATCTATAGAGGACTTAGGGGTTGTTTGGTTGGTTTTCTATTAAGTCATGTATGGATAAAAGTTGCTATGTGGCTTAGTTCGTCTGTATAGATTGAGAAGATTTTTGTTTGGGAGAGTTTTTTCATGGATGGAAAGAGCGTGTTTTTTAATTGGGAGGGGTAGGTTTGGAAAAAACTTGGCCTTCAGCATAAAGCTCCTCCCAAGAAGCGTACTGAATAAGTCACTTTCTATATTATTAAGTCACTACAAATAATCATGTATAGCTAACTGAATAAGTTGAGTCCCATTAAGCTCATTAAGCTGCTAACAAACATGCCCTTAATGGGAAACCAACCAAACAGCTCCTTAATGCCATAGCGATATAGATGTTTCAACCTGCTGAAAACGTTCGTGCAGAGCCTTCTCTTCAACTAAACGTCGTTGGAATGCTGCTTCAACTAGAGGAGCTGCCTCTTCTCTTTTAGCTCTTTCGAGATGATCCATTGTTTTGGCAAGTTTCTGTAATTTTTTCTCCATTTCTTGTCTTTCCTTTAGTTGTTCATTTAACGCCATTTCCATTAATGTTTGCTTAGTTATTTTCTCCTGCATGGATCGTATAAGGTTAGCTTGGCTCGATTTTTTTTCCTATAACCGTGGGTGTCCAGGCCAGCTTGTGTGCACCTCGACTAATCCCGTGGCCCAATTGTAGGAAGGTGTAGCAGAAAATAGATTCGACTCACCCCCTCAATGACGGGCTTCTTGCCCTTCCTTTTACCACGCTTTCCAGCTTCTTTTAACAACTGTTGTGCTTCTTCAAGTTCTCGCTCCTCAATTTCTTTAAGGATCCTTTGGTTTCTCCTCTGCGCATACTCAGCAGCAAGTCGTTGTCTCTCTGCCTCCTCGGTAATCTTCTGTTGTTTAAGTCTCCTCGACTCTTCCTCTCGCTCCTACGAACAATAGTTCTAGTTTAGTAGAAGTTATTGTTAGAGCCACATCGGCCAGACTTGGACCTTTCTACTTCAATATATGCTGGAACCCCCCTTCTCTTCTCAAGGGATCTTTGGGAGAGTAGGGTTCCACATATTTTCACTTGGAATCTGAGCCAAGGTCCACCTCCTGGACACATCTCTGGTGCCCATGACTCAACACTATGTATCATCTTTGCCCATCTAGCCCCTATTGGAGGGGGCGTGTTCAAGCATCTCCAACAGATTCAACTCAACAGATTCTCCATTTTGGAGATCGAAACATTGATTATATTATTAAAATACTCCTTTCATCTAATAAAATATTATTTCTCTCATAAATATTTATTTTCAAAGTTTCCTATTGATGAAAATATATCTAATAACATTTCTCTCTCATTGTAATCATTCTTGGAGTGTTCTCCGAATTCGGAGATTTTGGCACACTCTCTCCTATTTTATCCATTTTGGAGAATCTGTTGGAGCAAAAAAAAAATCCCAAAATCTCTATTTTCTCCATTTTGGGGAATTTGTTGGAGATGCTCTTAGAGTCCCACATCGACTAGACTTGGATCTTTCCAAGGAACCTCCTTTCTCTCCTCAAAGGCTCTTTTGGAGAGTAACCTGATGAGGTTTCACATATTTTCACAGTTACGATTCATATATCATCTTTTAAAATACTAGAACTGAAAATACCATCTCCAAAAGCTGGCGTTCTTGTTCTTCTTTGCGTTTTTCAATTATAGACTTGCGGGCAAGCAGTCTTTTATGCTCCTTATCCACAATCTCCGTCAAACTCATTAGTGTCTCCCCAGGTCTCAATGCTTTTTTTTGGGGAGAAAAAACCATGGATCTTGCCTTACTAAGAGATTCTGCAAAAACGCTTAGATGATCACGTAGCCCTTCAGATTCGCAACCCTGAGCAAGAGTGAGAACAGAAATCATACATATGAATTATGAAATCTGCACACGCTACATGAAAACACCTCAAAAAAAGTTATGCCTCAAAACAAAAAGCAAAGATAAAATGGTCATTTATATTATTCAGACAGATTATTCAACATAATAAACAGACCACTTAGCTTAATTCATACAACAACCCTTAGTTTATTCTCCTTCCGTTTTCTACTTAACGAACATATTTGAATCATTTTCAGGTTGATACATTCATCGAAAAAGTTGACTATAAGAACTGGGGGACTCTGAAAACTGTAGAAGGAAGCAAAGGATGGTACAGACACCCAATCTCTTCCGCAGGAACAGAAAGGAAACAAACTTATAGATCTCATGGCATCTAATTCAACATAAAATCAAATTCGACAAGGGAAAACAAGTAGTTAAAATGTAAACGGAAATTACAGTCAGTGAGCTTCAAGTCAAGTTGATATATAAATCTCAATTAAGTTGGATAACAAGCTTTGGCAGAAATGCAGGTGAACAAAATATTTAGAGAGAGAGAGAGAGAGATAATATTTTATTAGATGAATGGAATTAATAATATAATTGATGTTGTAATCTTCAAAATGGAGGATGTGTTGGGGTTGAATGTATTTTTGTTTTACAGATTTTGAAGTTTCATTCTCCATCTTAGAGAAATGTTGGAGATGCTCTTAATACCCAATAACCGCTTGCATAATTCACATTTATGTCCCATTTGCTAAGGTTAGGCACTGGTATAGCACAGTAGAAACAATAGAGATGTTTTCAGGAAGGGCAGAAAATAACACACCTGACTGCTAAAGAAAACAGCGCCTTTCCTGTGGTCAACTTTCATTGATATAAAATTGTGTTTGACAGCATCGACAGAAATTTTTTCTACAGCAGAGAAATCGAAGAAAGGTATCATCCCTGATAGAGTTTCTATCTTCATTATCTGATACACACGGGATACCTAGAAAAGCAGAAAGCAGGACACAACAGACATAAATATACTGTTTCATAAAGTCAAAACACAACCAAAGCTGAATGAAGAAATATTATCCCTATAAAAGGGACTGAAAATAATAAGATGAATGTATTAGTCACCTGTTGTAGCAATCTCAGTGTGGCAAGTTTTTCCAGTGAAGGAATATATTCAGATAACTGAATTTCTGGGACAGAAGAAGCTGAAGAAAGCTTACCCCCGAGCTTTGATATTTTCATGAGCAATGGTTGTACTTTTGATGAAAGATCCAGTGGGGAGAACTCATGCTCCAAAATATGGTAGAGATCTCTTACTTCCTGGGTTACACATGACATTACACCCTTCGAAACCTATAAAAAGTACAGGCATTCCCATATGTTACTTTGACATCTGGAAGATATTTCTTTAAATATGGTAGAGACAATACAAAAAAAAAAAAATCATGTTTATAGGATGCCAAAATGTCTTTTAAGTGTCATAATAGACTGTGTCCCCAAGAAAACTAGTTAAGGGGAAATCCCATTTTCTTAAACTCCTGGCTTCCTCATCAGGCCTGCCCAGAGTCTTCCTCCTTGTAATCGGTGATGTGGGATTCGTCTAAGATGTTACAAACATCCCCCCACTCACTCGAGGACTCATCATACCCAATGAGGTTTTCCCCACCATCCCCATGGAAACAAAGATTGGCTCTGATACCATCTGTAACACCTCAAAGCCCAAAGCAACACAACTTCAACCCCAACTTAAAACCATGGTGTAAGTTATTGATAGCCCACAACTTGAGGCTTATAAGGAGCTTGCAAATCCCATTTTCTATTATGTGGGACAAGTTACACTTAGACAGTTTTGGAGTCCTATAAACCCAATTATGGTGTAGTGAAAGATCTAGTCAGCCGAGAAGTACTGTAAACTATCGGGGTGGGGGAGGGTTAGGATATAGTAGTAAGTAGAAGTGATGAAATGTTTAATCTTACCAATTTTGAGAGAAGTGATGAGCGTGAAAGCTGGGAAAAGTAAAGAGTAAAAAACGACATAAATTAATAAGAGATTGGAAAAATATTGAACCAATGAAACAATAACCCAATCATTCAAGTTACCACTTCTCTGCTCTCAGATCTAGGATCAACAATAAATCCGATAAGATTAGCCACCCTTAGGTTCCTTTCCTTTTGGTTCTCGAGTTCCATATGAGATGCACCGTGTGAACGATCATAAGGAGTAACTGAAAGTGCAGCAAGAACAACAGATGAAGCTATCAACTGCAGGTCCTTCTGGCTTAAATTCTTGTTGAAACCCTTCTGAAGTGCAAATAGCTTCAGCCATGAAAATGCATGATAAATATGGCTGGAGGAGATCCAAAATATTTTGGTTAACTTGGCGTAATATATAACCAAAAAAGATGCCTTTGGAGTTTTCTTGACCATACACATCAACCCATATATATCTTCAACAGATCGGAAAGCTTCCTGGTAAAAAAACATTGTGTAACTTGCATGTCTTTATTAGCATTTCAGATCAATCATAAATCGTTAAAATTTATGCCCGTCTGTGTCAAATACATACAAGATACCAAACAAACCTGCCAAAGCTGAAGTTCAGTTGCAACCTTCAACTGCTCAAATCTAGTGTCAAGATACAATTGCAAACTTTCTGGAGCAGAGAGATCAGGCCGATCCCTCTGATCGCGGTATCTGTTATGATTTGCAAGATGATTCCTAATTATTTCACAAAGCCTCCGAAACTCTGTTGTCCGTTTATATTGCTTGCAGAACTGGAAAGCTCGATGTGCAGTCATCTATACAAATAACAGTGCAGCTTAGTAAATGCTTATTAAATTCTTTACACTATAAAGATTCGTAACAGACAATAAAATATTCTCTTACACCAATTTAAGAATATGGAAATGATAACCCAAGGCAGGGATACCCGCTGTCCATTCAAGGAAGTACATACGAAGGTCATGTATCCCAATCAAAGCATGAAACTAAGTAATGACACAGAATAAGTAGCAGGTACTCCAAGACAATCGAAAAAATGATCAAATATTTTTAGAAAATGTAATTTTAGTACAAGAAGGGTACAAGAGTAATTGTACTTCTGTAACTAACTAATACTTATTGCTAGTGTTAGTTGAAAGGTAGTTAACTAAATAGCATACGTGTACAACAAACATATTCATCACCCTTGTTGCTTCTTTGTTGTGTGTAATATGGTATGAAAGCACCATTACGTCATATATGCTTCAGCCGTTAAAACAAAGGTGTTTACCTTTGTACCCATGAATAATATGCGCAGTGAAATCTTCGGTTTAATTCATTGAGATATATCAGGGCACTGTAAAAACCCGCTTACCAGGGACATCGTTTTTTGTCACAATTGTTGATGGTGACGACAGATTTACTTGGATACACTTGATCAAAAATAAATTTGATATTGTGAGTATAGCTCAATTTTAAAACATGATTTATACTCGATCTGAGGGTAGATTAATTTGACACTTATTCCCTGGTTGCAAAGTTGGTCAAACCTCCTGTCATTGTTGTTGTCAACAAATTGGAGTTGCTCCAGTTAAAAGTATATAATGCTTTCCTAAATGGAGAGTTAAACGAGGAAGTTTGTATGGAACTTCAACTTGGCTACAACTTAAAGGGGAGTCCAATTCTAATTAATCGAAGATGGTATGCAAGCTTAATTAGTCCACCTATGGTTTAAAGCAATCTTCCAGGCAAGGGTACGCCAAATTTTCCTCCTTTGTCATTAATGTTGCATTCACTTAATCTAAGGCAGAATATTCACTCTTATAAAGGCATTGGTAGGGACTATGTTGCTTTATTTCAAACAGCAACATAGTCAAGGTCTGTCCTTATCCACAGCATCATCCTTACAGCTTCGTGTTTTTTGTGATTTGGATTGGTATATGTGCCCAGATACACGAAGATCTACTACTGGTTTTTGTGTCTCATTGGTGACTCTTTGGTGTCATGAAAATTCAAGAAGCAGTCAAGAGTCTCTCAATCGTCCAATGAGGCTGAATATCGAGCCATGGCCTTAATTACTTGAGAATTGATGCGACTACAACAACTATGGACTGATTTTGGTGTTGCATCTAACAATCTACTGCTCCTACATTGATCTTTTGTGATGATAAATCTGATGTACAAATTGCTTCTAACACAACATTTCATGGGCTTACGAAGCACATTGAAATTAATTGCGCTCCATAGTCCATAGCCAATTTCAGCTTACAGAACTATTCACAAGGGATTTACCTTTCTGGATGATGGGTCCATTAATGTCCAAGATGGCCTTGCAGAATATATATTCTCCAAGACATTTTAATTTTTAAGGGGGTGTTTTAGCAATAAGAAGGGTACAAGAGTAATTGTACTTTCTATAACTCACTAATGGTTAAAGTTGTTAGTGATACTTGAAAGGTAGTCCAACTAGATAATGTATCTATAAATAACATAAGTGCACAACTAACATATCCAATAAGAACTTGTCATTTTGAAACATAAGGATGATAAATCATCAAATCCATATCTTAATAATATGCATGTGTCAATACGATATGTTTAAGAGAAAATCCTGTTGCTTGGACCAAAGTGGATAAAGTATCATGTGAACACTTGATCCCCCAACAAACTATCATATTGTTTTTGGTTCTTCTCTGTCCGTAGTATTATTGCCTATCAAAAAAATTACCATTAAATGGTAACCAGTAATCTGCACATATCCCCCTTCTTTGTGTAGTTCACTTCAAATAAACAACTTATCATTATGGACTATTTTACCTGTATTGATTTGAAATGGTAGGTCCTAATCGGAAGTTGTGTGTTGAATAAGGTGACAGCGTTATTGTAAAAATCTCAAGTCTTAAATCATTGCGGTTGGCTTCAAAAATAACACAGTTCTGTAGCACTTGAGAGTCAACTTTCCACTCCCGGTTCTCGACACTCCAAGCATACACAATGGGGTAACATTATCAATCTACTTAGCAATCAAAAGTGTCTCGAGTAAGTGGTAAATGATCGGTTGTTATTTGTTTTGTGTATAAATAGTCTAAATGACAGAAAATTATCATTTTAACCATCTCTGTTTGGATAAGTATTCGAATGAAAAATGATTGTGCGATAAATATTGAGAATTATTTAAATAAAAAAATGGTTGATCTAACATAATAATATAAATTTAGTGATACCATACAACATGGTTAATAAAAGTATATTTTTTCTACAACCCTTTAATTTATATTCATTTAGGTACTGAGCTATGAAAGTGAACTGATGTACATCCCTAAACTCCCTTATTCTATACAATCATCTTATCATTCTCCACCACAAGAAATGGACAAGGGTGTGATGGTGCACTAGTATTTCGTTGCATTTTGTACCTGAAACAACCTACAAGAGCATACATCAATTAAAATTTGCCAAAAAAAAAGTAGAGGTGGTACTAGGCTATGTTGTAATGGTTGGATTAACTAGTTTTGGACCCCAGCCTATTTCCTCACAGTTTCGAACATGAGGGACTACCGCAATCCAAAAAGAGTGGAGCATGGAAGCAAGGCTCGATTGACATGAGACGAGTGCAAACTAAATTCAGTGTTTTTTCCGTTCTGGGGTTTGTTCAATATCTATGGCTGGTCGGGTAGGATGTAGTCATACATTTCATCCACCCCTTGGGGTATAGAGGTTATTTCTGTGAATACCCTCGACATGCAAACTTTTTGAAAGGAAACTGGAGTGCATGAGACATTGGATAAAAGAAAGAGTAAACATTAATAAGCTTAATGACAGTAAACATTAACAGCAATAAAGAAAAATGCAAGAAACAGGATGCATGTTTGTTAGCAACTTAATAAGCTTAATGAGACTCAGCTTATTCTGTTAGTTATACGTGATTGTATGCAGTGGTTTAATGATATAGAAAATGACTTATTCAGTAAGCTTTTAGGGGGAGTTTTATGCAGAAAGTCAAATTTTTTCCAAACGTATCCCTCCCAATAAGAAAAGACTTTCTTTCATCCATGAGAAAACCCTTTGAAACAAAAATTTCCCAATCTATGCAGACAAATTAATCCACATAAACATCTTTATCCATACCTGAGTTAATTGAAAAACCAACCAAATAGCCCCTGACCATGCTAGGACATTGATATCCTGAATGTCTGAATATGACATCTCCTGTCAAAATTCTATGTCCTTGACTCGTTGGAAATGTCTAATGCCGGCATAACCATCAAATTTAATGTCCTTGAATTTTTAATAATTATTTGCAGAAAAACATTTAATGCAACTTCATTTAATAAAATTAGCTTTCATACACTAAACTACCCAATGCATGAAAATGCAGGGTGAACGATATTAACAATTTCATAAATCCAGGAGTCAGTTATGTAAATTTTCAAATCAAAGAACCAGAAAAAATCATCAGGGGGTTTACAGTTTACTTGTAAGCTTTGAAGAACTTCAAAGTTTAATACAGTAATAATAAATTTAAAATAGTAACTCATCATATCTTCAGGTGAGTATTACCAAGATTTTATAATTCATCTTCTCGTTCAACGGAGTCGGCAGGGTTAAAACCCAATTACCATTATTTCATACATGGAAGGCTGGCCGTAAATGTGCACGAAAAGCCTGGGGCCTAACCTTCAAGGCCTGGTCTTGAGCATATGTTCGTTCTAAGTGGGTTTATCTCGATACCTGAAAGCTAGGTCTGATCAGAACTATTAGACCTAAACCGTCGCAACAAATCCATCCAAGCATCCATGACCATATATATACACTCATTTATATATGTATATATCTGTTGGGTTTTGGTGACAAATAAGAGTTAACTGAGTAGCTTAAGAAAGGGTAAGAAAGGATGTTAATTCTTGAATTAGGATGAGAGACGCTGAGAAGATGTACCGGATATGAGTTTAAAATTAGAGGTGATCAAGGTTTTTACACTTCTCATTTAACTTTTCTTCTAATCTTCTCATATATATATACATACATACATATATATACATATAAAACCACCAAGAATAATAATACGGACCTTGATCATTTTAAATCTCATCACTCCCATCCTATGATATAAGAATTTATTCTGTGCATTTTATCTTCAATTAAAATTATTCCAAAAATACAAATCTTTTCTTACTTTTCTATCCTGAATCCAACCTTATACATATACATAACACACGAGAGAGCAGTTGCGTTCTTTCCAATACTGTTATGTCATGTGTGAAAACCACCGACTCTCCACCGACGCTGCTGCAAGATCTACTACCCTCATCAAGCCAGTGCACGACTGCACGTATATATTCGAAGTGGGTATGTAGTATAATATCCCGATTATTTTCATCCTTGAAAACCGAGCTTTTGATAGTCGCCGACAATCTCGTAATCAGCTTGCTGGCGATGCAATTAACTTTCACCGTTAACCCAAAGTTTTCAAATCCTAGTACCAAAAAACGACGACAGTCGCAACCAAACCCATTGATTCATCAAGAAACACACTCACTTATCGCACCTTTTACACACATTTGATCGATTTGAACGGTTTACAAATACAATACTGCAATATTATCAGAACATAAAGCTTAATTGGTGAAATTAGGACTTCCAACACAGGATTTTGTAAACAAAAACTTGATCTGACGAATTTACACTATGGTTCATGGAAACTGAGACGGAAAGAATGCAGAAGGAAAGAACTATTGGTTTGACTAACATTCAAGGTTTTACCGTAATATCTGAATTAATAATATAAAATCAATTTCAGTAGAAATACATATAAAATTATGTATGTTCAAGCCCCATTTGGATCGACTGTCCAAGCCAAGCCCATTCTTAGGGTTTGGTCCATTTGGTACGTGTAGACTTTTATATATAAGGTCATTGAATTTATTTTTCTTTCTCATGTGATTACTCCCATAAGTTCCATTATAGATTCAAAAGGAAGCCATTTATTATTAGTCGGCTGTTGTGAATTCGTTCTCACTGTTCTCGTACATTTAGGTCGATATGAGAAGACTGAACAAGAATTCAGGTGATCCACCCAAGTATTCGGATCTTGGAGGCGACGATGTATCTCGTGATCAACAGACCAGATTTGGGTTGACTCCTTTGAAGTTAATGGGGGGTTTAGTTGTTTGTTTAATGGTTCTTTCGGTTTTGTTTTCAATTTCTGTCATTTTCAGAGATTCTACTCTAAATAGCATCTGGGCAGTTGCTGATGCTAGGGTTCTTGATATGGCCCCTACCAAAGGTATGGTATTCATGAAATTAATGCACTTTAATCACTATCTACTTGCTTCTGCATTACATTCTGTTTTAATGCCTATGAGAGGTTCACTTACTACAGTTTAGAGGATCTGAGGTTTTGGATTCGACCATGAACTTGTAGACATAATTTGCTCCAGATCTGATAGTTGTAGAGGGGCTGGTGCACCATCTCTGCCAAAGTTTTGGTTTGGGCACAGAGGGTTTTTTATTACTTCAATGTCATTGTTATGTTTTTTTTGGGGAAGGGTGTGCTATGCCTGGACTAACACCATGGAAGAAATCAGCCCTGATAAACTCAGGGATTGTTGTGTATGCCAGGAATCGAACCCCGGGCATTCCACCACAACCCTTGTGGTTGTCATTGTTATGTTTGGGGAATCTTATGCTGTTTAACAGCAAAGTTGACTATCTGATCGATTTTCTTGTTTTGGACACCTTTTCTTTTCATGTACTAGATTTAGATGAGGAAGATGTTCCATTGGAGTCATTTGTGCAGCACAAGAAGAAGCTGCATTCTTCAGGTTTGGAGCATGATGACAGGTTACTTGGTGGCCTTCTTTCTAGTCAATTTGATGATGATTCTTGCCTCAGTAGGTACCAAGCAGCATCATATCGTAAAGAATCACCATACAGACCTTCTTCATATCTCACTTCTAGGTTACGGAGATACGAAGCCCTTCACAAGCGTTGTGGACCCTATACAGAGCCCTACAACAGAACCGTAGCAAACCTAAGGTCTGGTAAGAAGACAGAAGAAGACTCGGATTGTAATTATCTGGTCTGGGTATCGTTCAGTGGTCTAGGAAACAGAATTCTGACTTTGGCATCGGCTTTTCTCTACGCCCTTCTCACAGACCGTGTCCTACTTATTGATCGTGGAGTTGACATGCCTGATCTCTTTTGCGAACCTTTTCCTGAAGTTTCATGGTTACTTCCTCTGGATTTCCCTATCACTGATCAATTCAACAGCTTCAATCAGGAATCCGCAGAGTGTTTCGGTAATATGTTAAAGCTTTCAACCAATTCATCATCATCGTTGTCACCGTATGTTTATCTTCATCTGGTTCATGATTACAATGATCATGATAAGCTCTTCTTCTGTGATCAAGATCAAAGCTTTCTTCAAAAGGTTCCTTGGGTAATCATGAAATCTGATAATTACTTCATTCCATCACTTTTCTTGATGCCATCGTTCGAACAAGAACTACTTGCGCTATTCCCAGAAAAACAAACAGTTTTCCACTTCTTAGGCAGGTATCTATTCTTCCCTACGAATCCCATTTGGGGTCTTATAACGAGATACTATGAAGCTTATCTAGCGCAAGCAGATGAAAGAATTGGCATCCAGGTCAGGGTTTTTGATACCAGGGTTGGTCCATTTGAGTATGTACTAGATCAAATACTAGCTTGTTCTTTAGACAACAGCCTGCTTCCAGAAATCAATCCGAACAAATCTTTCGTCACCTACCCAGGAAACCAGAAGTCAAAAGCTGTTCTTTTGACATCTTTAAGCTCAGGGTATTTTGAGAAAATAAGAGACATGTACTGGGAACATCCAACAGTAACTGGAGAAGTGATTGAGGTATTTCAACCAAGCCATGAAGGGTATCAACAGACTGAAAAGAAGATGCATCACAGGAAAGCATGGGCAGAAATATACCTATTGAGTCTAACAGATAAGCTGATCACTAGTTCATGGTCAACTTTCGGCTATGTGGCTCAAAGTCTTGGAGGATTGAAGCCATGGATCTTGTACAAACCCGAGAATGAAACAACCCCAAATCCAGCTTGCACTCGTGCCATGTCAATTGAGCCTTGCTTCCATGCTCCACCCTTTTTTGATTGCAGAAAGAGAACTGGAACTGATACTGGTGCAGTAGTACCTCATGTTCGACACTGTGAGGACATGGGCTGGGGTCTGAAGCTAGTTAATCCAGCCATTAACAGCATCGCCTAGTACCACTTCTACAGGTTTTTTGGCAAATCTTTGTTGATGTATGTTCTAGTAATTATGAAATTAGATTCATTGATTTGGTCCCCATCTAGATGTAATGTTATTGCCAATCAAATAGCTAGAACTATCATCCTGTTGTAGGGCATGTTCCAGCCTTCCAGGTACAATATGCAATGAAATTCAAATAGCTCTTGGGCTGGTCCTAACCGGTCCTGTAGTCCAAAGCTTTTTGTTCAGCCATAATGGGCTGTGTAGCCAAGACAAACTGCCAAATTTCTACTTCACCCATCTGTCTTTTGATCTAGTTATTCTCCTCCCTTTCCATGTTCTTTGAAGTATTATTTTACTAACCAAATTTGTTTATTTGAACTACAAAAAAAGTTCAGAAGTTTTTGTATTGGCCACGTAGCTTTCCGTTTTCATTTACATGTCACCATGCAAACTTGCATATTTCCCACTCCGTAGTCTGGACAATGTTCAGATTTAACCAAGCAAGTCAATCCATGTTTTACTTTATTTGAACCCCAGGTTTTAATCTTTTTGTTTTGGCCCCACAATTTTAATTCAGGATATAAACCTAAAAGTCCCCTTGTGGGGTTAACTTTTTTTAGTTCAATATTTACATTCAATCAAGTCCCTTGATTAAGCAGGCACTAGTGACGTGCAGCCCATGATACCCCACAGGACATCAAAGCCCAATGGGGGCATCAAAACCTAAGAATACATCAAGTTTTCATTTATTACTAGTTTTGGGTTAAAAAATTTGAGAATTGGACAACTGGGTTTTAACTATAAACACGGGCCCAAGCATCTGCTTTCCTAGTTTTCAAATGTGTTGTTTGCATATGGAATATTGCTGACTTTATCCATCATGGTAGCATCTGTCGAAAGAAATTTTTCAAAACTAAAGTTATTAAGGTCATATTTACGGTCTACCATGAGTCAAGAAGTTTTTCAAAACTAAAGTTATTAAACAGGTTAGCAATTTTGAGTATTGAAAGTAATCGGGGTTTTGGTCTTTATGTCCCTTTTGTATTTTCCTATTATAATTAATAAAAATGGGCGTGGTATGAGCCGTCTAACTTGACTAAATTTCAAATCCTTTAAAAATTTGACTAAAATTTGTACTTTTCGTCATTTCATTTGCTTAAAAAATAGGCATAGGGACATCTTTTAGCATTTTTGCACACGCATCAAAAACCCTAGGCTGGCCCTCGGATTAAGTTTGGGATGTTTGCACTACAGTCATAGACAGTGCCAACAGTAAGCAATGTGAGAATGGGATGAGTCTAATGCCTAGCAATATACGATGCCAAGACTCGTAATGTATTCCATGTAAACATAGAGCATATACGACTTATGTTACTGAACAAGTATTCCGCATAATAAGCATAAATGATATAAAGAAACCCAAGAGAAAATGAACCCTTACCGCATAGAGAGCCTCCAATTTTGAGTTGTTCCTTAAGATTTCCAGCACAGTTCGGTATGTCTCCCACAATAATTTAAACCATGGGGTGACAAGCTCACGATCAGATCTGTCTTTCCCTTTCTCCCCACTAACATAACTCAACATCAGATCTTCAGGCCTTCTATCTGCTTCTAGATCATCAAAATCAAGAGCTTCTTCCAACGCTTGTGCGTGGCTACGTGCAAGTTCAGCCTTCTCAGTGGCCAAATGCATAAAATGTTTGATCACTTCCTCCAACGAACTTATGTTAACTTGTTGACAAATTATACGATATTGAATCAAACCATCTTTAGCAAATCTTCCTCTTCTCATGTCAACACATAGCTCTACATACTTGAACATGATTCTCTCAAGTGTCTTTTGCCATGCTCTATACCTCTTTGAGGTTATAATCCCATGAAGTGCTTGTAATGCATCCTGCTTCTGTCCAACATTAATCAACTCTGCATCCACAGATCAAAAAAAGCTTGTGTTTAGAAGCCATCTGTCGGTAAAAAAAAAAAATTATATTTGCCTTGTAGAATATATATATATAGGGTCAGATTAAGGGGAAAACTCAGGGCAGTCCCTGGGAAGGGCGGGCCGGGCATACGCCGAGGGCCCATAAAAATTAGGGGTCCAAATTTTTTTAATATATATGATAGTAGTTCAAAAAATTAGTAAATAGAAGACACATAAAAAAATTAGTATCAAATATGACAAGAAAAGATTTTTTACTACATTAACTATTAAAGACTCAAATACGTATGAATTAAATATATTGGAGAAAAAACACATAAAGAGGTTAATCTGTCGTTCATTATGTAATATTATTTAATGTTTCTCTAAGTTTTTTTTAATCTAAAACCGATGTCTAAAACTACTTGCTTCCAAAACTTTGATATATTCTACATAATTTATCTCACATCCACTCTTTTGATTGTTCCATTCTCGCTAATTATATTTTTGTATTAGAATATGATAGATTTTCTTATTATTAGATAACAAAACCCCATCTTTTGAAAAAATTACCAACCATATAAGATGGTACAACTTATATTTATATTTAGAATAATAAAACTATAATTGTTTTTTCATAGTTGTTTTTTATTATCTAATATTGAGTGTAGAAATCTGCTATTCTATCTCTAAAAGAATAAAAAGATCTCAAACTATTACCAACATGAGTTTTTTAATTTACATAATTGATGATTCCAGTAAAGTTTGTTTTAACCATAATCTTATGTTCTTGAGTCTTCCTTTACATAGGAAAGAGAGGAAAGTAATGGGGGAAGAAAAATATTTTGTTCTCGAGATTTTTTTAGGAAAAGAAAAAGAAAGGAAAAAAATTATATCAAAAATTATTTTTATTTCATTATTTTTCCTTCCTATCTCTTCTCTATTAAAAACACAAATAAAAAACTTTATTTTTCTTTTCCTTTCTCATTCTTTTCTTTCCTTCCCAAATTCGAAAACATAATATAAAAGTTTAAAATTATGTTAATCTTTCCAAATTTGAAAACATAATATAATAGTTTTAAAAGATGTTAAAAACATTAACATGATATAACATTGACAACCAACCTATTTACATTGATTTACATAGTGTCACTCGGAAATCAGAAAAATCGACTTTGTGATCCCAAATGATGTCATTCTATGTACCAAAAGTATATCATATGATGTTTTTGATGATGAAACAAATTACTGATACTACATAAAAATGTTCTAGTAGATAATATTAATTTAGAAATAAGTATTGATTGATTTTGCATCTAGGAATACTCGGAAAAACGTTTTATATGAATTCAATGTTATTTCTGATTATAAAGACAATATATTGAAAAAATATCGTACTTATCAAAGGCCCCTTTTTATATCTCGTCCAGGGCCTAAAAAATGTCAGAAACGGGCCTGGGAAAACCACACAAAAAAAATGAAAACCTGATGAACACTCTGGTAACCATTCATCTAAATAATATGCACATATGCATACAAGTAGTTTGTAAGTAATTTTTCTGGTATGCACATATCCATAAAATGCAGACTTGCATACAAACCAGAAAACGTCTTCAATGATTGTATGCACATGTGCATACCGACAATTATTAGGGCATTCCTCAATTTTTCATTTTTTGGGGGTTTTCCCCTAAACCTCACTATATGTGTGTGTGTGTGTGTGCGCGCACGCGCGTGTTCATGTGTGTATGTATAGAGAGGAAGGATCATGCAATAAGTTAAAACATTTTTCGAGAAGGCCAGAAGTTTCAATAATATATATGATTACACTTCTTTGGGTATGTTTAATCATATATGATTAAGCGTAAGCATCTATTTGTTGTCAATGCAACATGTGTTTAACCATATATGATTAAGCTTGTGTATCATGCGTGTAATCATAAACTTCTCGCATTCTCGCAAATCGTTTGAACCTGTCCCTATATATATGAAAAACCATAGTTCTCCGGCAGTGCATCATAAAGTTTCAAGTTGCATATACAGAAAACAAGAAAGTTATTACTGAAAGGAGAAAACAATTTTATAGTAGCATATGAAATGCATTGGTGTTGAGGGAGTTGTGCATGTTCACTATAGAGTTCCTTAATCAAAGAAAGAGATTATGTATGTAGTTGATGAAAAAGAACTGCTCACCTTCAGCTCTCTTCAAAGCATTTTCGGGTTTGGCGAAAGTCGCCATATTGAGTGATCGAATCAATTAGAGCTAAAAGACAGAAAAAGTAACAAGTTATTCACGATCTATATCAATATATTTGACTGTACATTAGATCAAACAGTATGGCAAAAAAAACAAGTTTGCATATTCTTCTGTGAATTAAGCTCGTTGACAAAGCCAAAAGAAGGCATGATGGTAGCAAGTATTGTGAATTATCTGCACTTTCTTCTTGATCCCTAAGAAAAACAAATTAGATACAAAACATCCAAAGGCTTCAATTCTTCCCCATTCCTTTCATCTTTTTTGATTTATGAGCAAAACTAAAGAGCTTGTTGGTTATAAGCTAAGAGTTGTCCCGAAAAAGCATAGTACAGCTAATGTTGTTCTGAACAAGCCTTCGTTTGGCGTACAGCAGAAAATCTCAGACCTGCATCTTACTCTGTTACTCGCTTCATATTATAGTAAATTGTATTGGGGCAAAAGTTGATTACAGGTAACTTCAACCGGCCCACATCAATGTGAAGGGACATTTTTCTGGCAAACTCAGCGGCTAAGGCTAACAGGGGCTAGCAATTGAACCCAGGACTTATCTTGTATTTGGGCAAAGTCACCCACCCCTTTGCCGACTTAGCTACACACCAGAGGCTAAATGGTATTATAATAATCTAATTGTAGTTCGGCATAGCTTCAAGAATCAAGTAAACTGAATTCATCTGAAGGTGCCAGATTGAAGATCATTCAAAACCTAAAATAACAAGACAAGATTAAAAAGAACACATGGTTTAATGGAATTATCTGCCTATTAGGGCTGTTTGATTGGTTTTCATTAAATATTGTATGGATAAAGCTGTGGGTTAATTTGTGAGTGTAGATTGAGAAAGTTTTTTGTTTAGGAAGGATTTTTCATAGATGGAAGGAACTTGTTTTTTTTTATTGGGACTTGGGAGGGACAAGTTTGAAAAGAACTTAGCTTTCTCCATAAAATGCCGCATTGAAAGCTTACTAGGTAAGTCATTTTCTATATCATTTAGCCACTAACAAGCCGAATAAGTTGAGTCCCATTAATCTTATTTATAAGCTTCTGCAAACAAGCAAGCCCTTTATTAACTAAAACACTAACAATTATTAAAATATGGAGGATCTGAGTGGCAGCAATATTAATATGATTACTTAATGGCAAGTAATCCTTTCTGGCTTGTAGTTTCACTATAAAGGGTCTGTTACCATTAATTTGGGAATGGATATCATTGCATTTATTGTCCGCAATGTCCGAATGAGGAAGTGCAATCAAGCTAAGCAAAATAAGAATTCATCAATCATCATTGTATATTTACCAGACGTAAGCAACATTACATCTACAACAGATCAATAGCCATAATAAACGTCTAGTGCAACAATCCAACTAAAAGTTACTATCGTACGTCATACAACAAGAAAACAAAACAATCACAAATTCTCTGTTGCATTTATGCTATTGTTCTTAAATCTATATGATCACATGATTTACCATCTCAACCGCTACTGACACCTTCAAAAACCACAAAACAAACAACGAATCCAACCATGCGGCTAATCGAAACGAATTACCGATCATACGAAAACCAAAAACCGTAACTTCTTCAAAACGAAAACAAATCAAACCAAACTCTAATTGCAACTCTAATCACACGACAATATTAATTAAAAACGATAATCACATAGATTCATAACGAACGTTTAAACGTGACTCCATAAACTAATTCAGATTACATAGAAATGATGCAAATCACAGTGACAGATTATACAAAAATACGTAAAATACATTGATAGAGAGAGAGGAAGACCTTGATTTGATCTTCAATGGCGCTTTTTGGCCATAAACCCTCGATTAATGATGAATCGATGATCAATTGTTTCGCAGTAGTATTAGCATTTGATGCGTTGATCCTACAGAAGCAATGTTGAAGTTAATTGGGTACCAACCGCTTCACCCGAATCCGGGTATTACCCGACAAAAACTGCATAAAAGAAAAACCCGGCTCAATATTTTCGGACGTGTCTAAAATAACCGTCAACTCGTAAATCAAATGGAAGCGTGGGAACAAAACGGGTGGGTCGAATAACCCACGGGTCGAAATGGGATCGGATTAAAACATGTGATTATTAAATGAGTAAATTACGTTTTTCATCCTTATGGTTTGTTAAAAATTGCTATTTTTGCCTTTATATTTTTAAAATTACGATTTTCATCTCTGTTGTATAGGGGGTGTTTAAAAAACCGACCAACTCAACCAATTCGACTAGAGAAAACTCAACCCAAGATAACCTAACACGTAATTGATACAAAATTAAGCCAAACTATATCTATTGAGCTGGAATTGGATTAGGGTTATTTGAACTCAACCCAACCTGATGTACCTGATGTTTTTATATACAATGGATTTAATAAGATTGTTAAGTCTTTGATTAATATATGTTTATTAGACATTAGACTAATCCATAATTAGGGGCCGTTTACCAAACGCTTATCCGGGTAAGTGTTTATCAAGTCACATTACCTCACCGGATGAATATGGTATCTTACCCGGTAAGAGCGAGAAAATGACCAAGAGTCTTACCCGGTAAGTGAAGGCGACGAATCTTACCACGGTAAATGCTTACCGAGTAAATTGTTGCATACGATGTCGTTTTGGTGGACTAAGATCTTACCGGTTAATAAATAATAGTATTAGATTTAACCGGTAAGCACTTTACCGGGTAAGTGTTTGGTAAACGGCTCATTAGTTATATTCAAAACTATAATACAATTTCAACCGTAATCTTGTTTGAATCAACTTTTAACTTTCTTATGAGTTTGTTAGCCGTTTTTGAAGGTTATTGTTTTGATTTTACCTCGTTTAAACACAAACCCTTAGCTAAATTGTAAAATAATGTACCAAAATTTCAACCCAACCAAACCAGTACAGTTCGGGTTGGATTAAGTAAAATGTGTAGAAAATAGGAAAAATCAGAAGTTTGTTATATTAATTGAAACTAAATCAAACTTTGTTACATTTTCACGTATTTTGCCTTTTTATTTTTATTTATTACAAAAGATATTTATTAAATAAAACAATTTAGAATACGCCTTGTTGCACTTTAAGTGACCCTGGAGCCTTTTAACTCGTACGTTTTATAGTTTACAAATAACCATTGTATATGTACCTCATCGTAAAGCTTTATATTTAAACTACATAAGACCGAGTGGGTGTTTGAGATTGTTTATAAAAACAACTTATTGACTTATTCCGGTGGCACCGGTAATAAACATTTTTGAGTGTTTTGATAAACAACTTATACCGGTGACAAACTGGTAATAAGGAGTTTTTGAAAAAGTTAAACTCTTCTAACTTATAATAAGTTGATAAGTGCTTTTGTAGAAAAGGATAAGTTGTTTCAGATAAACAATCTCAAACACCCTCTGACTAATAAACACGTCCAAATACAGAATAAGTGTTGAGTCTTACTAATATTGTAAAATACTTCACAGAATTTCAGATTTTTTTGATCAAGAATAAGTGACGAGTGCTACTATAACCCAATAACTGTCGCAATCTCCGAATGCGGAAGACATCAGCGATAAACTAAATCTTTCTCGTGCAACTATCTAGCACTCATCTCATCACGGTGTTGCTAGTAACATTTTCCCACAGACCTGATGCACATGCCGACAAAGGAAAGGCTTAATGCCTATTGAGTTCAAGCAGTTTTCATCATAATTATAAAATGGTAAAATTGAAAGACTGCTGATTTAAATCATAATTTTGCAACTAAAATACATTTTTCGTAAAAGCAACGTCTTTCTGAAAACTCGACATTTCCTTGATGAAAACTCATTAATCAAAATTCCCAATTACACGCAACCAAAACCCAATACTCACACAACAAAGAATAAAGCTATAAAACATTAAAACGGAAAACATAGCTTTAATCAAGTCTCATAAACAATTAACTCACGCTTAACCTTGAGAGGGCAATAAAAACATCTGAAGATTACGGGGGAGACCCGATTTACCATTCCTTGTGATGGAACACATAAGTAAACCGCAAGCCAATGTTATATGAGCACCGCTTACAATTAAGCAAGCATTGACATCAACCTGGTCCAGTCTATAGTCAATAATGTATAAGCTCGTTCACTTGGAAATTACATAATAATCACAATATTTATTTCCAAGCTACGGTAAATGGTGAATTGAAAATTACATAATAATCACAATGCTTATTTCCAATAAAACAAAAGGAAACTCAAGTTAAACTCGTTCACTTGCATAATAATCACGAATGCCTATTTCCAAGTTACGATTTGAGAATCTCATCCCTTACATACCCCATGAAACCGACTCCTCTGCCTATGGATCCATTGTATTCTAGCCATAAAATTACACGACTCCAACTGAATGACTAACGCACTCAAAACGCGTATATATGATATAATTATGCCATAACTGCATATAATTTCAAAAGCTCGACATAGAGCAATTTAAATCATACATATGTCCCCAATACTCCTTTTAAGTCAAAACTAAGCCAAAAGCTCAACAACTCAATTGACTATTTCATAAAAGTCATGAAAAGCAAAAATTCATATTTAACCGATGTTATGCAAATACATGCTCCAAAGACATGATTAACTCAATAACACATCATTGATTGGGACAAATCATTTTCCAATTAAAACTACACCGTTTATATTTCCAAAAAGTCTCATAACACAATAATATGCATTTATCACCAAATAATCGTTATTTAAAGGATAAATCATCAAAAGAAACCACACTTATGATTTATTTATCAAAACGTCCAAAACCCAAATATAAACATTTTACATGATTTATAAAACCAAATATGTAAAACTCACCAAATAACCCACACATTTGATAAATAGTAAGTAAAACATATTAATATTTCAAAATGGACACTTTTGGCATGTATATAATGTTCACAAAGCAACTTGAATTCACTTTGCTAGGCTAGGTAGAAACTAAGTTTCAAACCCATTTATGCTTCCAAAGTTGTGGAGAGATTAGATCCACACACAAGACTTCTAGATCTATGATGCCAAGTCCTCAAGAACACATCATCTATACCTAATCTCAACAAATATACCACCAACAACAGAAATGAGGGTTGAGAATTCATAAAATATAAACCCTAGCTCAAAATGGAGATCTAGGACTTACCTTTCTACCACTAGGAGCTCCATAGCCACCAATAACTTTAACCCTCTTGGATATCACTTTGAAGAGCTTCAAAAATCGAAACCATAGCAACTTGAATCGCCCAAATCAGAGTAGAAATGAAGAAGTTATGCCAAATGAAGTTTGATCCCGAAAACCGGATCTTATTGTGCAGGTGCCCCTCTTGGCGACCCTAACACGTGATGGTGCCCTATGACACCATCACCGGGCACTATAGCCCAAAATGTACTGAAAGTTTTCTCCCTTATCCTGACATGCTACTGTGCCTAATGTCACTATCGCCGGGCACTATCCCATGACCCGTACCGAGAGTTTTTCCTACTTTCACCCGTTTGAGCCTTTTCATGCCTCAAAGATGATACCCCATATAATCCAACTTGAAAATACTTAATTCAACTATTCCAAGGATGAAACACATAAAAGACTTGGGATTTCACCTTACCAAAGATACGGTCGCTACATTGTGCCATTGTCACTACTACATGGCACAATCGTCGGGACCACCAAACACTTGATATCACCAGTGTTACCGTGACAGATGTCACAACCGCATGGCATAATAGTCGAGACAACCATACTCTCAATTTCGTCAGTGTTATTCTAACAGACATCACAACTGCATGACACCCCCGTCATACCCCACAATCGATTTTCCTTTACTGGATCACTCGACTCGGCACTTCCTTTAATTAGGACAAAAAATCAGGATGTTAATTTGGTGTGACATTGAAGACAGGACGGAACTGAGTAGGACAAAAATGCATTTTTCTTGTCCGACTAAATAGGTGGAACAAAAATAACGAAGATAGACAGGATTGGTAAATAGTCAACTACCCATGTCAAATTAAAACCCTAAAACCTTCCACAATTTGACAATTCTTCCACATGCCCACCTCACCCACCCTCACATGTCCATTGTCCAAGTACCAAACGCACCCAGAACATTAAGAATGAGAAACGATTTCGGTCTTGTGTGCTAAAAGTCGTTTATTATTTGGTGTTTCTTATTTATAAGTTATAAGTGCCGGTATTGTTTTCCTCAAGACACAAAAGCCTGTTTCTAGAAATTAGATAGGGGGACCATGTAGGATAGTTTCATTTGTTAAAGAGAAGCCATTATGCCCATGTAGGATTTTCTCAGTTGCTTCAGAAGAATGCACCTTAGGTGGGGTCTTTATGGAAACAGCCGGTATATTATTGGAGGTAGAGAGTAGGCATGCACCTCCCAGACCCACCTGCAGGGAGGATATACAGGGTTCGTTAGGTTAGGTTTGTATTGGGTTTTAGGTATGTGCCCAATTTGTGGCCTACTTGGCCCTAATGTTGGATCAAGGCTATTGGCAAAAAATGGTAAAATACCCAATCCATATATTGTCGGTTATCCACCCTAATGGTCATTATCGGTCTTATTTAGTTGATTTGAGGAGAAATTGAGATGGGTCCTAAAAGGCGAAAATGGAGAATATAGGGAAATGGTATAAATGGATAGAAGATTCACATGATAGCAAAGGGATCAAATGATAACAAGGTTATGAAAAAGATCGTTAGCGTTCGAAGAATATTTGTTAGTTTGAAGCATAATATATTGAATCACAAAACAAAATAATACTAGGGTACAAGAAAAACAGGAACACATAATCTAATGGCATAAAGAGAGACAATCCAGGCAAAAGGTACAAAAAGATGAAAACTTTACCTCATTTTGCAGTAGAGCATTTCCCAACCTTCCAAACTAGATATTGATCAAACTTGCATCTCCTCACCAATAACCTCTTTTCGGCTTCCGAATACCAAGAAAACGATCAAGTGTTGCCAATGCATCTTGAAATTTGCGGATTTTAAGGAAACCCATGATCATCTTCACTTCATTATCTGAGAACTTTGCTGTTTTCATGATCTGATCCACCAGCTTAACCAGAGTATCCTCCATTTGCAGAGCACAGAGCCCTTCAGCCAGCATATAGATCGAAGAAAATTCTGGTGTAAAACCTTTTGCAGTCATCTCAAATACGAAATCAACAGCTGCCCCGATTGGCCCTCCTCCGGAACAAAGCCCTTTGGAAACAATCTTATATGAAACCTCATCAGGAGGACAACCCTTTTCCTCCATTTCTCTAAAGAATTCCATTGCTGCATCTGTTCCCCGTTTTCTAAACAATGTTTGAATGACGGGATTGTATGCATGTGGAGTCACGACCATATTTTTCGTTTGGATGCTTCTAAGCAACCTACAAGCAACCTCAATCCTTCCTGCTTTACACAACCCTTGAATTAGAGTACCATAAGTGACTATATCTGGTTCACATCCATTCGAAATCATAACCTGAACAATATCTGTTGCTCTTTTGATATCACCCGCTTTACAAAAGTGAGAAAGAAGGGAATTATAAGTGAATTTATCAGGTTTTAATCCTTCGATTAGCATTTGGTCCATAACCGCAGCTGCCTCCTCTGCCCGCCTGTTCTTGCAAAGGCCATCTATAAGGGTGTTATAAGTCACCACGTTCCTTGAGATCCCCTGAAGCTCCATTCGATCAAATATTTCCCCTGCTTCTTCAACTTTCTTGTTTTTACAAAACCCATCAATAAGAGTATTGTAGGTTATCACGTTTCGAGGGCAGCCACTTGATTCCATTTCTTTCAGTAGATTCAAAGCTGCATCTAGTTTCCCTTTGGAACAATACCAATCAATTAACATATTATAAGTAAACTCATCCGGTTGACATCCTTTGTTTTTCATGTCTCCAAACACTTCCAGTGCGGTTTCAAATTTGCTAGATAAGCAAAGACCTTGAATTAGAGCATTGAACGTACAAACATCTGGCGAAAGTCCCTTGCTTGTCAAAACAAGAGCAAGTTCAGTGGCTGCTTCGATTTGGTTTTCCTTACACAAACCGCTAATTATAGTGTTGTATGTGACAGTGTTAGGAGAACAATCCCGTTCAAGCATTTGGTTTAGGATGTTATTGGCCTCTTCAACTTTACCCAATTTACATAATCCAGAAATCAACGTGTTGTATGTATAAACGTCAGGATCAAATCCCTCTTGAAGCATTACCTCCAAAATCTCTAAAGCATGCTTAACATGCCCTGCTTTGCATAGACCATTAACCAGAGTGTTGAATGTAAACCGATCAGGATAGAATCCCTCATTTGACATCTCTTGAACAAAACTTAGAGCTTCTGAAATTTGACCAACCTTGCAAAATCCATGAATCAAAGTGTTGACGGTTATATTGGTTGATGGGCATTGGGCCGATACCATCTCTTCTCTGATTCTTAGCGCACCATCCAAGTTCCCTTCCTCAATATAACCATGCATAAGTGTCGTGTAAGTCTTCTCATCGGGCATCAATCCATGGCTAGGCATCTCTTCCATCATCAAAATTGCAGCCCTCATTTGATGGGCTTTACAAAGAGCCTTTATCAAGATATTGAAAGTTGCAACATCCCTTCTAACTCCTTTACTAGACATTAACGAATGAACATCTTCGACTAGCTTCAACTTGTTCCCATCAACAAGAACATTTAACAAGAAATTATAACTATATGTGCCTGGCTTCACTCCAAACTCTTCTTCCATTATAAATAGAACACAAATAGCCTCATCGTATAAATCAAACTTGGCGAAACTTTCTATCAAAATAAAGAAAGTACCTTCAGCAACCTTGCACGAAGATCGCTTCATTTCATCCAATACCCCTCTTATCGAATCGACAGAACCTACTTGTCCAAGTTTTCTAAGCATTTCCTCATAAATTCCCAAAGAGGGTTCGAAAGTTGGTTGCTTCAAAGCCCATTTAAATACATCAAGCACCGAGTTTTCATCATTTTCGTGCCGCAGGACATCAAGAACTTCTTGTTCAGAAGATAAAGTGGTGAGTTGTTCGTACTGCTTAGTGGATGCGAAGGAAACAAAGCTCGAGGGCTTTGTAGGAGTGAAAACTAGAGATGGGTACCTTAGATTTTGAGGAAGAGTCCATGGGTCACAGCTTACACAAGAAGAAAAAGCCATTCAAGCTAGTCAATTCAACAAATCCCTTAACTTATTATGGTATCACTACACACCACTTCAGGTAAACCAACGATATCCCATTCAGGCAATTCAACAAACACCTACCCTACAACTACAACTTCGTATAATTTCAGGCAACCAAATAAAAACCCCTTCAGGAATTTCAACAAACACTTGACACACCTTATCCGTAGCGGCTGTTTAAAGAGTGTATGTTCATTTGTTCCACATGAATTCAATAAGAGAAAGTGAAAGAGACCAAGAAACCAAACCTGGGTAGATTACAAGCGATAAAAGAACGTACAGAAAGCGAAATCTTTGAGCAGATTCAGGGAAGGGGGAGAGAAGATTTCACAAGAACAAAGAAGAAAGTTGAAGAGAATCAATGAAGGTCTTCTATGGCAAAGTTAACGGATAAAATATCTATAAGAACCGCAGTAGGCTGCCAAATTCGGTGACCAGCTTCTGAAATACCTATTTATTTATTAACATGTACATCTATTTATGCGATCTGATGGTCCGGATTCATCGTATTTGAACTTCTGTGGCTATAAGAGGATTTTTATTTCTCCATGTATTTGAACATGTGACCTCCTGATACTTTTGACCTTTGAAGTCAAGCTCAAACAAATCAAACACCACCATTGTGGTTAAAAATACCTATTTTACCAATCATGGTGTTTGGATATGGACTTTCTAAAAAAAGATAATAAATAATATGGGAAATTTACATAATTATCCATTTTCTAACCCAAATTTATATTTTAACAAATCCTTACCCAAAAAGTTTACGTATATACGTAAGGATTGGTTTTCAGCAAAAATAAAAAAAATCTTTACTCATATGCATAAGGTTTCTGCATAAGGATTCCACTAAATACCAAATTATGGTGGAATTCTTACGCAGAAACCTTACACATATGCGTAAAGTTTCCCCTTTTTTTTCCGAAAACCAATCCTTAGGCATATGCCTTTTGTGTAAAGATTGGCTAAAAAGTGAAATTTTATTTATTAAGTGGTTATTTCCGTCAATTTTCCCAAAAAATAATGTAGTTTGTAATATTTTCGTCGACGTGGTTTAAAAATTACGATTTTCGTCCTTGTTACTATTAAGAATATTGTACTTATGGTTCACATTTTTTTAATATGTGCATTATAATTGTTTGATTTTTTTTTTCGTCTCTTGTATTTAAAAGTGGGAAATAGGCTTAAGAATGAAGATAGCAATGAATTACAAACCATAGAGACAAAAATCGTAATTTATAGACTACAGGGACAAAATCTTAATCTTTAATAAACCACAGGGATGAAGAGCGTAATTTACTTCAGATAGTATTTAGTCCTTTAAGTGTTCGAGTAGAGATGAGATCGGTTCCGAAGCGGTACTGAATTGGTTGGTACCGAATTCTTTTTGGGGGTGAAAACTAGGACTAAAAACCGAACTGAGTGTATAAATTTGGTACCGGTTCGGTTTCGGGATAAAAAAAATAGGTACTACAACCACTTAGGTCTGAAAAATAAAAGTGGGTTAAGATCAGTTGTTCATAATGTTTCAAATGTGTATCAAACCAATCGCAAAAGTTCAAAAGATGTATCATCTCCCTGCAAAAAAACCTACAATAAACTTATAATTAATATTAAGATTATTATAATATTAACTAATAATTAACTCAAAAAAAATATTTTATGATTGACAAACATAATCTAAACCTTGTGGTATAGAAAAACTTAATTGAACCACTAGAATGGTGTCTGATTGGTCTGAACTTGGTCTTCAAAGATCAAAAGTACTTGGAGGTCTTATAAAATGGGGTTTTTTTTACTTTTTAACTGAATCTTGAACACTATCCCCAATTCGAACGAGATCCTACATAAAATAGTTACCTTTTTTCAAGATTATCACAAAATAACCAATCAATTTGCAAATTGTTTCATAAAATGGGTTTTCTTTAACTTTTAGACTGAATCTTGAACACTACACCCAATTCAAATGAGGGTACCACATAAAAGCGCCATTTTTTCAAGATTGTCGCTAAATAACCAATCATTTTACAAATCGTTTCATAAAATGGGTTCTTTGACTTTTTGACTCGATCTTTAACACTATACCAATTTGAATAAGGTCCTACACAAAATCCTTTTTTTTTTTCGAGATTGTCACATAAGTTTCATAAAATGGGTTTTTTTCGACTCTTTTGACCAAATCTTGAACACCATACCCAATATGAATGACGTCCTACACAAAATCGTCACTCTTTCAAGATAGTCAAAAATAACCAACATTTTACAAGTCGTTTTTACAATATGGATCCTTTTTTGACTTTTCGACTAAATCTTGAACACTATTTTGGATTTCTAACAAAATTTGTGTCAGCAACACATAAATTTCCCAAAATTCCAAAAAATTGACAAATAAATTTTAGCAAAAAATGTTAAATTCCCAGAAAATTGTAAAAATTGACCAAAAAAGTCAAAAATAACTCGTTTGGCTAAAAAATTGGGATTTCGCAAAGCCCTTTGCGAAATAGACAGCAGGCAGTCAGCTATGTTTGAAAATGTAGCTATTTTGTGTTAGGTCCCATCTTTAAAAAAATTTAATGATTCCCATTAAATAATTAAATAAATATTTTATTTAATATAAAAACATAAAAAAAAACATTTAATATGGAAATGACAATACCACCCCTACAACTACATTTATCCATTAAGCAGTGAAGAACGAAGATAGCACCCCACAAGGCCAAAACCACAACATAAAACCACCAAAATAGGATAACAGTCTACAAGTCCATTTCATAACACTACTCAACAAATTCAAAAAAAAAAAAGGTAAACATGCAACCAAAACTCTATCGAAACCCGATTTATCGTTAATATCGTTACTCGGGAATCATCTGCTCGGTGTCTGCATCGCCTTCTTGCTCGATAGTTGGCTTTGATGGCTGTGTAGATCCAGGAGCTTGCTTCTTTTTAATTCCGCTCACAATATCATCGATTCTTAAAAGCATACAAGCAGCTTCGATCGCTGTCTTGAAGGTCTGGGCCTTCACATTGTATGCATCCCAAATCTTGAGGGGGAAGGGGAAGCATCATTATAAGTGCAACATTAATTAGAACCGACCAACACCAAAAAGAAATTGAGAAACTAAAAACCTATGAACCCGAGCGGACCAAAAGATGTCCGCATAGTCGCAAGACACTAAGGACGTGTTTGGTACAATGGACACGACAGGACAGAACAGAATAGAGATCATTGTTCCATGTTCGACATGACTTATGTGGAACAAACAGGAACAAAGTAGAACAAAGTTAGACAGGCGTGTTCTACCCCCACCCCCATGGAGTGATGGAATTAGGTGGATCAGACCAATATAATCTCAAGACAAAACCTAATTCTCTTCTAAAACATCAAATACGCATCCCTCTATACATTTTATTCACTCTTTAAATTCTCTATTGTAATTTATGTCTTTTAAATCTTCACTTTATCGTCCTCAAAATATTATTTTGGTTTCTACATTTTTATTATTTATATAATTTATTAAATAATTTAGAAAATTTATACAATAAAAATTAGAAATTACATAAACTTTTTATTTTGATGTCATTTTTAATCGTCTTGACGAAAATTTTTTGATGATACATTTTGTTATAAAAAATTATTATTGTAATTTAATAAATTACACAATTAATCAAAATATATAAACAACTCATTAGGGGTAAATAGGTCATTTTATCTATATTGTCCTGTCCAGTTCTGTCTTTCCAAACACAACAGTTGTTCTCTCCTATTCTATCCCATTTGGATACAGGGTGCGTTTGGTAAGCAGACGGGACTGGATGTGAATGGACAAGGTTTTAGGGTTTTAATTTGATAGGTAATTTAGTAATTTGCCAATCTTGTCCCGTTTTCTTAGTTTTCGTTCCATCTATCTTTGCTCAAACAAAAAAAATACATTTTTGTCCCACCGGGTCTTGTCCTGTCCCGGTCTAAATGCCGCACCAGACGTAGAACAGCAACTTTTTTTTCTACTGTGTCCCGCATACCAAATGAATTGATTTACCAAGAACAATTGGGTAAGTAATGACATGGTAAGAGGGACTGGAGCAAGATGCTCCGTCTGAAGTAATCGTTGACTGAAAATTGCTTTAATTGAATATATATTGAAATCAAACATTTTTCAATTAGCGGTTACTTCAGGCAGAGTATCATACTCCAGCTAGAACCTCCTACCCTGTCAGAGCTTACCCACTTTTTTTTGGTAAACACACTCCTCTCGTACCAGGGTAAGACCATCTTACCCAGAAAGTGACAGTAAGCATTTAGTAAACACCCCCTAGTTTTGTCTGTTCAATGAACTTAAGAACACCCCCAACAAAAATATAAAACCATAAAAATGCTGCAAAAAAACATTCTCGTCCAGAAAAAGAGAATATGTGTACCTTTAATTCTTTCATGTCTGCAATTACACCCGAATTTCCATCAATTCCAGTCCATGCATTCTCACCGTTCGCATGCTGTAAAGAAAGAAGAAAGTTATCAACATGATTAAGCCAGAGAATAATGTAAACCAACATCAATAAGCATAAAGAGCCTTTTGATCATATAGCCCAAACTTCCTTCATAATAGTTCATATCCTAAACAAGTTATCTTCCAAAGTCTCTCGGTCCTAACATAATTGAACACAGTATGTGGTTCAATAGAAGTATCTCACTATAATGGTCTGTTTGTTGCAGCTTAATGAGCTTTATGAGACTCACAGCTTATTCAGTCAGCTTTACATGACTGTTTGGTAATGGCTTAATGACATAGAAAGTGGCTTATTCAGTAAGCTTCTAAGGGGGAGCTTTATGCAGAAAGCCAAGTTTTTCCAAACTTGCCCCTCCCAATTAAAAAACGCACTCATTCCATCTAGAAAAAAAACCATCCTATACAAAAACCATCCCATTCTATATAGACAGATAATCCACACAAATAGCTTTATCCATACAGAACTTAATGGAAAACCAATCAAACAGCCCCTAAGTTAAATATCTAAAATACCCCTTAATAATAACGAAATACGGAGATCTTGATGAGCAAATAATTCTCGATTGAAGCTTTTACCAAATCATGTATTTTAGACATTCCAAAACAGAAATTGTTGCACTTATTTTAGGATGGAGGGATGATGAACTTTAAAGAACTCCAAAATTTACCCACACTACCAATGAAACGGTGGCAATGCATATTTGAAAACCATGATGGTATAATTTATTTTGGGAACTTTCCGTTTTAGGTTTCTAATTTTACGAAGATGAACCCTTTTCATCTAGCAGATAGGATATACAACTGAAATAAAAAGCAAATTTCCTTGCCTTTCCCTGAAGAGCAGTCATTGTTCTAATGACATTAACGCCGCAATTTTGTGCCAAGGTTCGTGGTATAGCCTCAAATGCCACAGCTGCAGCTTCATAAGGCCACTGTTTCAACCAATAAATTTTACATCAATAAAACTGCTCGCTTTCTTTGATTTCAAGTCTTCTGTATTTTCAAACTCTTTATTCATAAAATCCTGAAGTTGATAATCTGAAACAACACTTGTTTACCTTTTCGATGCCTTCAATTGATGAACTCTTCTGTTTCAGTGTAGCAGAAACAGTCAACTCGGTGGCACCACCACCAGGAACGAGTTTTGGATGCTTCAAGATGTTCCTAGCCACCGACATTGCATCCTGCCAAAATTGGCAAGCTTTTTATATGCTCCTTAGAAAAAAAAAATTACCCCCTTCGTTCAAAAATAAGGGTCCATATATTCACTTTAGTTTGTCCCAAAATAAGTGACCACTTTCACAAGTGACTATTTTCCAATTCTATCTTTAATAAAAGAGATGGTGAAATTCATTACTCCTATCATTAAGGGTGAATTGTCGTTTAGCTAAATAAAAGTGCAATAATTACCCGGGAAAATGGCACAAATAGCCATTCTGGCCGACCAAATTTCCCTCTTAGCCATTTCTCTCCAAGTTTTACCATTTTATCAATACCTCCGCAAGTGTCCTAATTGCAACTTCCGGAGGGTGCATTTTGTTAAAAAAACCATAAATGGCCTTGCCACAAGTGGAGGAAAGAAATAGATTTAACAATTTTTCTTTTTTAAATCATCATGCCTTTGCCTTGCTGCAAGTGGGTTCCCCACAAATGGAGGAATTTACTAGTTTAATTTAAAAAACAAAAATACAGTCATCGTGGCTCCCTCCCACAAGTGAGGAAGTTTTTTTTATCTTATCAACGCCAGCAAGTTGAGGAATGGTTACTTGCGGAGGTGGTGATTTTGTTGAAAAGGTGGGAGAGAAATGGCTAAGAGTTAAATTTGGTACGTTAATATGGTTATTTACATTAATTTCCCTCCCGTATCTAAAATTGTGTCTTTTTCATTGTGATAAAATTTAGTTTGGGACAGAGGGAGTATATAACCATCGACAAATTTACCTGCAAGTTTCGCTCCACTTCATTTAAAAGATCCTTGCTGGCACCTCGGAGAAGAACAGTGCATGCCTTCGGATCTTGACAATCCACAATGTAGGCAAAGAACTCGTCACCGATTTTTTTCACTTCAAAAAGTCCAGCCCTGGTTCCCACGTCTGATTCTTGAAGTTCGTCTGGCCTGTTCACAATGACAGCTCCGCATGCCTTCGCAATCCTATTGTTATCCGTCTTTCTTAATCTCCTGATGGCACTGACGCCCGCCTTACTCAAGTAATGGCAAGCTAAGTCACTAAGTCCTTTTTCCGTGATCACTAAATCGGGCTTAAATCTGAGTACTTGTGCGCAAAGATTCTCAATATATTCTTCTTCCATTTTCAATAGAACTCCCCAATCCTCTTCTTTAACCAACTCTGCATTTGTTTGATTCTCTCCCTTTTTGTACTCAAGAGGGCAATCGAGCAAGATGATACGTGGGTTTACGATTTTTCTTCTCATTTTTCCAGGAACAACGACATCTTTGTTAAACATAACACCTTTGAGGACCTTGGAATCTTCCAACTGCCCCCCGGGGATTTTTTCAACCTTGATGTATTTCTTAATATCTACTTCTCGTAGTCCCTGGCCTAGATCAACACCAACTATTGTTGTCGCATCAAGTGCTAGATCCTAGAGATAACTAAGATGATAGTCAATAAAGACAAAACGAAAAAGCAAATGTTCAAATCAAAACCTTCATGTGAACAGTTTAAGTAGTGTTAAAAAAGTTATGAAGCCACTATTTGCGGAAAATACCAATTAATGCCATAGACACCATAAAGAAAGAACTTAGTTATCCTAATGATCAAAACAATATTAGGGGTTGTTTGTTTACCTCTTAATAGTTCCATTAAGAGGCAACCTCTGAATCGTTAAAAGGTGAATCTTGTTTGGCAAAAAATAGTTTGCTTTTTAATGGTTCTAAAACCCTCTGAATGATTTTGTATCCTGAGCCTCCCTTAACCATTCAACGCCCTAATTTCATTGTAAACAATAACCAAACAATTATATTTCATTTTGCCCTATATCATGATAGCCTCTTTAGTCATTCTGCACCAAACCATTCAGCAACTGCCAAACAGCCCCTTAATATATTAAGAATTACGACAGATATTAACGTGAATGTACACCGCACCTCGATTAAAACTTTTCAGAATACAAATAGATAAATGCTAATTATATACTTGCAGCATTTGAGGATTAATTTGATTAAAGAACACAGGAAGGAAAGAAAAAAGAAAAGGAATACTTACTGCAATTAAATCCCCAAATTGACTGGTAAATTTTGTGCCAATACAACTTTTCACTAAACCCAACATCATCAAACCTGCCAACAGAAGTACACGATTAAAGAAAAAAATAAAAATTGGCAAAATCCCAGGCATAATGAGTTGCGTAAACTAGCTATTTTGCATGTTATTGACAAAAAAAAATCCCAGATGGGAAGTCAACATAAATAATGGCGGTCATACAAGTTGAAAGAACAATGTGGGGGCTTACGATCATTCACATCAATAGACATGGCGATCTTGTCCAACACAGCAAGAGCATCTTCAAGGGCCTTGTTGTAAGCTGCAAAGATAGAGTTATTTACATGTAATTCATGCACAAACTGAAAAAAAGAATAGTTTCAAGGTCACCAAAAGGTACCTCGGCAAATTACTGTAGCATGATACTTCTTGTCAATGAAAGCTTCCGCAACATGAAGCATCTCACCAGCTACAGTGTAATATTACAGTAAACAGAAAGAAGACATAATTAAAATAGAACAGACAAACAAACAACCAAAAAGTCTTTTGTCTTAAGGTAACAGATGTAAAATTGTATCAATGTTACCTGAACTGTACTTGATGAACCAGGACTTATAAACAAACATGCATGCACACAGACATACATGCATATGTATAAATATATATATATATATATATATATATATATGGGGATGAGATTGGGAGAGAACCCTAAAAAGGTAGAGAACCGAAGAACTCATCCAAACCGTTAGATCGAGATGATCCAACAGATGAGATTAAAAAGATGGTTATAACCACCTTTTTCAAAAAATACGAATACTTCACATTTAAACCGAAAATCAGCAAAAATGACATAAATTGGAGCGAAATAAATTAATCTCATGTCCACCCATGAATTGCACTTTAGAAGGGGAATTGATCTGGTCCATCTTAGTGCACCTCATTAGTGTTTACATTCAATTAGGATTGACCCAAGGGTGGATATCTCTTCTTATGTTTCTCACCATAACTTCCCTTCTCACCGGAACCCAACCCTATACACACACACACACACACACACACATATATATATATATATATTAACATAGTGGATTTTAATGCATCGAGCGGTCCTTTAGTTAACAGATAGGAAAATATAGAATGTAAGAGAATTTTAAGCATGTGATTTCAGATAGATGCTCATCTCAGAATCCACAAACTTGATTCATTTAGTTATATTCCCTTTATCCTTGCAGCAATGAATCACAACTTAATGCATAAACATGGAACGTGGGACCTCTAAATGTATGCTTGCTACAAACTTGAGTTTTATTTTCAAAGGTCACACTTGTATAGAAGGAGTATGAGCATCATTACATTGGTACTGCAAATGATGTACCCATCAGTACTATACGAACTTCCACAATCCCTTAAATCAAAAGCTAAGTAAAATAATCGTTGAAAAAAGCAGGTAGAGATTTAAAAATATGTGACATACCAAGAACAATGACCGATGTAGTTCCATCACCAACTTCTTCATCTTGTGTGCGGCTTAATTCAATCATGGACTGCCAAATTGATCAGGAAGCAGGAATCAGGATACAAATGAGTTTCATGTGCCTAAATATGTAGAGATCAAAATAATTAATGGGCAAAGTACATGATAAATAAGACCTGCCTTAAAGTCCGTATTAAAAGCACTAGCAAACCAGACGAAAACAGAGCAAAGAAGAAAAAAGATTGAAGCTCCAAGTATAACTTCTTTTATTAAAATATATTTCTAAACATAGATACCTTTGCAGCTGGATGAGCAATATCCAACTCACGCAAAATAGCATTCCCATCATTAGTAACCACGATGCCTGTTATCAACAAGAAATAACAGCTTAAAAAATCTATGCTTGTAATGACAAGTAATGTCCAACAATTATATGAAGACCAGATCGTTAATAGACCATAAAAAACGAGTCTATACATGAAAAATTTACCATCAGTAAAACCCATTATTTCAGCAAAGAGATCACTAAGGTACACCACATTTTGGTCTTGTATAAGGATCTCCTTTTATTGTGTGAAAACTTTACTATCCATAATACCTCTTATTTTAGCAAAGAGATCCCTAAAGTCGCTCCGGATTTTGGTCTTGATATAAGGATCTTGTTTTATCACATGTAAATAACCTTTACTATCTGTAAAACTGACTATATTAGCAAAGAAATTCCTAAAGCTACCAAGCATTCTAATCCAATGTTATGCAGGGTACAACCAGACAACACCACTACCTAGTAGACTACTTGTTGTATTAACATGTACCCATAGGAGCACAAATCCTTTCAGTTTCTCTCACTGAGCATTTCCCACCATCGAAGACAAGAATAAATATCAAAACAGTTTAAACTATCCATGATACTTATGTGTGTGCGATTATTTATGTATGCATATGTATATGTAAGAAAAATTAAGCACCTCCTGCAGCATCAAGAAGCATCTTTAACATGGATCGAGGGCCCAAGGAAGTGCGAATAATATCAGCCACGGCCTGCAATTCAGCAGTAAAAGATGTCAATTCATGGTGCTAGAATGAAATTCACAGTTTAAATTTCAAAATGCACCTACAGGCCAAGTGAAAAAGCTTCTGGCCAATAATCCATTGATTCAATGATAGCTTTCACTTATTAAGAGACTCCATATTCAAATTATTAAAATAAGTTAACTTCACATTTCACAAGTACCAACCATAGTACGCGTACATAAATTATTTGAAGTATCGACTCACAATGTCAACCATTGGTAATCATGACATAAAGCTTTAGACCTATCCTTGATTGTGGACTCGAGGAGACTCGACTCAAAGATATACCAGCGAATTCTAGAGTTTCCAAATTCTGGTGTCAACGAATCACATAAATGCAGCCTTGCGAAATGCCAACCAGTTGTGAATAGAAGAACAAAATAGTCAAATACTAGTCCCATCTTTTTCTAATTTAATATACCATACGTCCATAGTTAATGTGACCTTATTTACTAGACTTGAGAGCATCTGAACACAATATATTAAACACAAATAAAATTCTGTTTACCTTTGAAGCTTGGATATTTGCATGATGTACCTTACTTCCAGATTCACGAGTCAGTGAATCCTCTGCACATTTCAAATGGTACTCACATAAGCATTTCAAATAATATGCACATCAGCAATCATAATGAGGTGACATAATTATGAATGTCAAGTTGATTTGGTCCATCGCACTGCCAGACCTAGTCATGATATACTCCATATCTCATTGGTATAATAAATGAAGATCATACTCTCCCCTTGCACAATTATAGACCACTTTGCAAACATTTAGTATACTGTATATCTGTATATGATCCCTTTCTCAAAATGCAAAGCCCTCAAAGTTTACCCCTCGTTGAAAAGCATGGTTGATATATTTTTTGGCAAAAAAACATCAAACCATGTAATGCCACACAAAAAGAACTACTTGTAATTCAACAAACCACTTAAAATGGTAAAAGAATTGTAAAAGACCTTGAATATGAAATCAATTGCATTACCCCCAATAACCCCCATGCCTATAGTCCTTGAACCAAATACATACTTTTGAACAAGCCACCATTATGATCGTCACTAATAGTAACAAGAATGCAGACCGACTGTTATTCTTTATTCTCATATTTCTGCATTAAGCATTGGACACTTTCAACCAAAAAAACTGATTAAGAAACTGTTTGATATCAAACACCAAGGAAACCAGGTTCAAGGCATTAACTAAGGTTCGCATTTCAACTTTGTAATATACTAAGCTTATGAATATGTCAAGTTTCACAACTTCTTTGGTACTAATTAATCTAGGTTGATGTATTCGAGATACCAAATGACGTGAACATGTCCATGGTTCTCCAATATTCTCAAAATGGGTATCAGCTTTCATGATTCTTATCCAATATTCTACGAACGTCTTCCCAGTAGCTTTGACTACCACCCGAACAGGGACGGACCCAGTGTAGTGCATAAGGTGGCACGGGCCACCGCCTCGTTCCTCCACCACAGTGTAAAAAATTATAGGGTCGTAAAAAGTGTACATGTCAATTTGTTGTGTGTCGCCATATATATTTTGAAACTACAATGAGACACAAATTTTCCTTGGTAGAGTTGGTTTGCAAGGCTTTTCTTCCACCCAGACCCGAGTTTGAATCATGTTATTGTCATTTTCTTGGTTTTTAGCTTTTACTTTCAGATTTATTATGTTTCTGAAAAATTTGCAATAAAAGACATTACCTCACATATGAATAACAATGAACTAATTTTGTGAAAAATATAGCTATATTTGTTTATTATAGTCAAATGGTGCCGCCAACCCCTCCCAGAGACAATAACGATATAGAACGCTCAAGCAAGAGGCAATCCCTACCACAAACCATAAATCATTGAGATCTTATATCTATGTCAGCCTAGTATAAAAGACTACGTCTGACATTTTTCAATTATAAACACTTACCCTAAGGTTGGTAGCAAAAACCTTCTACCATCCGTTCTTCCACGGTCATCACCGAAGTCTTACAGAGATATCACATAAATCACCACCAACAATGGCATTAACAGTTAACCAATTGTAAGATCACACCACCAGATCATCAATAGATGTGTGTGAACTGTGCAACAATGCAAAAGCGAGAGACATGCACTTACTGAGAACAAGAACAGGCGCTTGCATAGCTAGAGATGCGAATGTAAAACCCTAGGGATGGAGATGGCGAAGTGTTCACCAGGGTTTCTCTCTCTCTCTCTCTCCGCCTTCTTCGTAAACGAGTGTGGTGTGAGGAACACCAGATGAAAGGGAAACACTCGCCGGCGTTTGTTTTTGCGGAATAATCGGATTTGAAAATGGGCCATTAGGCCCATCCTTTCACTTTTGCTACCGTTACCGATCATAAAATGTATAGTTTATTAGAATACTAGAAGCGTAATCGTGCAATGCAGTGAGATATATCATGATTTTAATATTTCATTTTATTATTTATCTCAGTTGATGTTATAATATGGCTTTATGTGTCCTCATTTTTTTATAATTTTTTAATTCAATTTTTTTATAATTTAATTTATGTATAATAACGAAATAAATTTATATTTAGTTTACTAATATAATTTTTTTATAAAGATAATAATTATTTATTTTGTTGGAACTCGATAATTATTCTAATTATATTTTAGATTTTTTATATTTTAAAATGAGATATTCATTCTCTATTTGATTATGTTTATACACAATTATTTATACGAATTCAAACATCGAGCTTGTATAAGTTGTACTTATGCATAATTACTTGTAATCTTGAATTTTAACTAATATGCATCAATATACAGTACTTTATGCATAACAAAAATATATCGATATT